TCATGCTCCATTGCTGAACCACAGACCTTCGCTAAGGATCATGGTGTAAAATGAGAGCTAGCATTAAGGACTGAGAGGGGAAGAAGAGGGACACAGTGTGTTTAGGATCATGGTGGAATAAATGGAATCTGCGACTAGGAAGAAGAGGAAACAATTGGGCTAAGATTCTAGGTAAATGTCTTACTTGTCTATTAGAAGATGTGGACTTGGCTTACCTGGTCTTCTGGAATCCTGTGTGGTATCAAGGTCTGGTTCCATCGTAAAGTGTTCACAGTGTGAAAATCCCTGATCAAAGCAGTAGCAATAAACCTTGTTCTTTTAGTTTTTTTTTTTAATTTTGTAATAAAGGATCAAAAGCTGGTTAATATATTAGGGTCTGTATTCATCTTTGCCTTTGCAGTGCTAACCTGTTAACAGTGTTCGTCTTGAAACTTGTTATGCCTTGTTAAACAGCGGCTATGTTTCAGAGGTGGCTGGAGATTCCAGACCCAAGGGCTTTAAAAAGCCTAGCAATGAACGGTGTGAAGCATAAATGTACAATTTCATTGTTTCAGAAAAGCTTTCAAGTCAGTGATGGTTATTAGACTGAGCTACCTTGCCTGACTTCTAAAGCAGCCCTTGTTTCCTTTCCCTTGGCACTTGTGCTAATCGGCAGTGTTCTCAAAAGTTAATAGTCATTTGTAAAAAAAAATATTCAAAAGTTAGTGAAGATTTATTGTTGTCTGCTCAATGGGTTTGCTCAGGGTTTGCCCTGAGGAGAAAATGGCAGAACTATGTATGCCACCTTGGAGGAAAGGCAGGATAAAAATGTTGTCATTATTGTCATCCATCTGTCTTGAGGGACAATGAAGTGTGCCTCCAGGGGTGAAGGCAAACTGCTGTTAGCAACACCGAAGTGATCTCCACAGGGTACAAGCCTAGGCAGTGTGTATGGAGGTCCTGCGCTGCCCAGATGACAAGACCCTCCTTTCAGCCTCACTGATGTGGTTCAAAGGAAAGCAGAGCAAAATTTTTGGCAACACATGAATTGCTGGAAGGAAGCGTACAAGCTGTCACCCAACTGTCTTAGGGACTCCACTCTGGATTTGTGTAGAGTTTACTCCTTAGCCCTTTATTCTCCCAAAGATATCCCACAGCGGAGGTTCAGGATCAGTTTTCTTTCTCCTAGATGAGCTGCTTACCCAGGTTGACAAGCGCCATCTATCCTTCACTTCCCTCTACCACCTGCACAGAAACAGCCTTCTTGAATGTTGAACCCACTATTGGTCTCATCCACTCAATTCGCTGGAGCCTATCTTTGCATACAGGGGAAGTTCTTAACTCACAGAGGGTTTGAGGCCCATTGACTACCCTGACCTGGTTTAGCTGGCCAGTTGAAGCCATTTGTGGGGTGTCACATGCTGACAGCTTCTGGGAGCCCCAGGTGAGAGCTGAGTGCAGGGTGGGGATCAACAGTCGACCGACTAACCCAGAAGGGCAGTTCCGCCACCAGAAGTACTACCACCCCCTAAATAAAAAATATGCAGCAGAAGCATATTAGCTTCTTAAGAGAATTCACATAGTTTAAATTCCATCTGCCACACTATACTCATTCACCTTACAGAGGAAGCTGCCTTATACATAGGCCTCTACACAGCTATTAAAGAACAATCTGAAAATGATCTTTAAAAACTGTTTTCTAGCTCTAAGTTGTAAAATTTCAGAGTTCCAATAACAGCTCTACAGTGCCATCTGGTGTCACAGGCTTACAGCACATTTGTAAAACTGTTTGTTTGTTTACTAGCATTCTCATTTTTAACTAGGATTCTATTCAAACACACTGTTCCAAACAAATTACAGTCATACCTCATGTTATGTTTGCTTCAGGTTACGTGTTTTCGGGTTGCGGACCATGGGAAACCTGGAAGTACAGGAATGGGTTACTTCCGGGTTTTGCCGCTCGCACATGCGCAGCAGCGCCAAATCACGCTTCGTACGTGCACAGAAGCGCCAAATCGCACCGGCACCTGCGCAGATGCAGCACTTCAGCTTGCGAGCACTGCAGGTTGCAACGGATTATGTCTGCAACCCAAGATTCCACTGTATTTGGTGACTAGAGATGGAAGTGTTTCCAAAACTTATCTTGGATTCATTCTGAAAAGTACTGAGATCGTCCAGGGGAGGAGGACAGAATGGGAAAACCTCATTGTACCAGTCAATCTGAGAGCCTGGAAGAAATGTCCCTGTGTCCACCAGCCGTCAGTGTTTCCTAAAGCCCAGCCCCACTCCCCACTCTCCCCTCATCCCCTTTCCTTCCTGCGCAACAGCACATCAGGACTCTAAGCCCAGAGGACCATGGGAGATCACATTTGCCCAAGGGCTGTTGGTACTCCTTTGAGGGAGGTTTTTGACTTGTGAGGCCAAGATCAGAGAACTTCAGCATCATCTCTGGACACAGCATCCTTTTGGGTGTTTCAGCTGTGGGGCTAGCAGGCTTATCAAGCATGTGCTATTGTATAACACTATTGCTTAGGGTCACCGTGGCTATTGTTTCCAGCCTTCACTGAGAAGAAAGTCCTATTAAAAAGAGGCTCGCAGACAATATAGTGACATTAATCAGGGCAGTGAGAGGGCATCACCTGCAGGATTTATGATTATCTTAAGAGCTTTTTTACAGAAGGATCCTTTAAAAAATGGTTTTCCCGTAATACAATTAAACTGTTTGCTCTCACAGCTAATAAAGAGAACAGCAGACGCAGACAGCTATACATGCCTTGAGCTATTGAGGCTGTCAGGTCTCATCAGATAAGGGAAACTGGTCCTAGTGTATATTCAGATAGTGAACACTAGCAGAATTGTGGGGTTTTGTAGGAAGAAGTTCTCCACTGACTCAAAACAGGTGGTCCTCAGCTAGCTTGTTTGGGATGTTGTCTCATAAACGAGCTATTCAAGTTCCAGTAAGACCAGGGAGGCCTGGTATTTAAATATATCACAAAGTACTTTGGAAATAATTCAGGTAGGAGGCACTGAGATGGTCTGCAGGATCTCTGATTTGATCAGAGGCTTATATTGTCTTTCACTTTACAGTGGTACCTCGGGTTAAGTACTTAATTCGTTCCGGAGGTCCGTTCTTAACCTGAAACTGTTCTTAACCTGAAGCACCATTTTAGCTAATGGGGCCTCCTGCTGCTACCGCGCCACCAGAGCACGATTTCTGTTCTCATCCTGAAGCAAAGTTCTTAACCCAAGGTACTATTTCTGGGTTAGCGGAGTCTGTAACCTGAAGCGTATGTAACCCGAGGTACCACTGTACTCCTAAAGCTAACCTGTACATAACTGGGATACTAAGCTACTCATTCACAACACCTACAAGCATTATAGGAGACATATGTTTCCGTCAAATAGTGGGAATTTGCTAATGGCTAAGTCAGATTTCTAGACTATATAGACCCACCTGTTTCATCAACTATACGTAGTCCCTGTAACTTCTACAGTGTTTTCCTTCTACCGCTGCCTAATAAATATTTCCCTCTTTTGCAAATTAGCAGCTAACCAGCAGAGGGCACTGTAAAGCTACAGGAAGTTGAGACTGAAGTTGCATAGAGCAGGGGTGGTCAGAAGCTGGATCGCTGGACAATTTGCGGTTTAACAATAGTGACAACAAAGTGTTTATTTCTCTCTAAATTATGCTGTTAGGATCCCTGATCTGAAATAAATCAGCTGTAGAACTGTACTTGTCCAAGGGGGCATATAGCTCATGGGATGCAGTAGGTAATTGGGTCTGCATTCCCCCAGGGACTATTTCCCACTGGCTACAGTTGCTGGTTCTTGGGGTTTCCAGAAGCCCGAAGTCTGCTCATGCTAGAGATGGACAAAACTGTCATTTTCAGTTTCTTGTTTCTCCAATAATCCGTTCTGTTATCCCCATTTCCACATCAGTGGCAGATTTCCCCTCCCCCCCCCCCAAAAAAAATCCTTGCGAAAATTCATCAGCATTTTAGGGTGAATTCCCCTAATATTTTGTATGCAATGCCCACACTTTTGCAACCAACTTCTTCCAATACAATGTATATTTCATATGCCATTTTCATAAATATATGCATTTTAGGCATGCTTTCCCCAAATCTACATATTCTCTTATGCATCATTTGGTTGGAGAATTGCATCACAAAATTTGGAGAAGTGCAAATTTCAAAAGAAGCAGCAGCTGTATTTTGGCATTCATTTTCAGGAAGCCTTCAGAGATTAATGGGGTGGTGGCCCAGCAAAGGGGGTTCTCTATGGCAGCCCCTAAATTGTGGAATCCCTACTCCACAGAACTTTGTCTGACACCTTCATTGCACCTTAATTTGACTATCTATCTATCTAAACTCTAATTGTGATTGTAATATTGTTTTAATCTGTTTTAATGGTGTGTTTTGTATTGCTGTAACCTGCCCTGGGACCTTCTGATGATTTCTCCTCCCTCCCTAGCTAACACCTGACATACAATATTGACATCTGTCAGACATTCATTTTCACTGAAAGTATACAAGGAATGGCTAGGTGATCCTGAATCATCCATCCTCTGCGACTTCAGATGGAACAGAAAAACTGTGCAGTATGTGATGCTACATGTACCTTGTTATGTCAGAACGGATGAACCTATGTGCCGTAGTAATTTCAGTCTACTATGTGCATCAAAAATCTGATCCTTAATTGGTGTATGTCAGACTGAAAATTGCACTTCTGTGGCCATTCTTACATATACTGCTCCTTAGAAAAGTTCTCCGCATAAAAATTGAAGCATGTCTGGTATACTGATAACCACCCGAATGAATTTCTATCCACAAAACACACAAGATCCACTGAAATATAATGTGCTACAGAAATGCATCACAGTGATACCATCATAATTATTCTCCTTTATTGTCATTCTGCAGTTTGAAAAAGGAGCCGGGAGTCACAAGTAACGCTAATTGGCACATTTGCTTTATTTTATTTTATTATTTTTTAAAAACAAACCGGGGTTGTATTCTCATTCTGTGTTTTCCTTTTTCTTTTTTTTCTTTTTTTCTTTTTTCTTTTTTGCTTTGTTTGTTTTGCCTCCTTTAGTTCATTCCACCATCATCATCATCATCACATTGAAAAGGGGAGAAAAGAAAAGAAAAATGTTCATTCTCTTTTTTGTTTTGTTTTTCCCTTTCCTTAACTCACTCAATAGGTTTGGACTCCTCAGATGAACGTAACATTGCGCACACACTTGGAACAGAGAGAGAGAGAGAGGGAGAAGGAGAAAGAGAGAGAGAGAGCGCACTCGTGGTGGGCAGACAAACACACGCACGCGCAGATCAAACAATTCTGATACAGTGCAAGAATTTTCCCAAAATGATTGGATCATCATTACCAAAAAACTCGCCATAACAACACCAAGAAACAAAATGTTTAAGCCACACTGTTTGACTGGGATTTTTCCTGCTTTTTTTTTCTTTAAATGTTTGCCACACAGAGAGAAAAAGGGTTAAGGGGGGGCGCGGAGGGGACAAGGAAGACAGACAGCCTCAGCCCAAGGGCGAGCGGGAGAGGGTGAGATTGGAACGAGGGAGGGAGGGGAGATACGGGGAAAGAGGAAGGGAGCACAGGGCAACAGGGAGTCATTTCTTAATGTTCAGGCATTTTCTTGGTCCGCCTTGCTCTCGTCTTCTTTCGCTTCTTCCTGCTGGGCACTTTCAGAAGGTTTGGTTTCTTCTACAGCATCTGAAAGGTATACAAACGCAAAGTTGTAAATCCAACCTCGATTCACACATTGAAACTTGTGGAAAAATTAGGTTGAGAGCCATATTTGGATGTTCAAGTGAATGACCTTGAAGATTTGGGTTGGCGGAATGCCCCCCTCCCAATGCCCCCCCATGTGAAGGCTCCATTTCAGACCTGAGTAGGGAAAGTTCCAAAGATGGCTTCTAAGCACATTTGGCTGAACACGTGCTATCAGGGTTCTAAGCATATTGAGCCCCCTTTTCTGATTGCATGGAGGACTCCAGTTGATCTCTGCAACTCTGGAAATGGGGCTTTCATGTGCACCTCATCCCCTCTCCACTTTAAGCCTCTACGTGTTCACTTGAATGACTGAGTGAGGCACACATTACTTGTTCTTGTTATAAAGGAACTTCAGTACACTAATTCTATGCAGGTTAGAAAGCTCCTGGGCCTAGCTGTTGTGTGTTTGTGTGTGTATGGATTTAGAAATTGTGTAGACCAATAGTCTTAGAAATTGGCAACGCAGAATCCTTTTGCTTTGTAACTTGACGTGGAACCAGTTTCTGAATTTATAGGAGGTGAGCAAGACCAAGTGCCATATTATTATTATTTGTTAAATTTGTCTACTGCCCTTCACCCGAAGATCACAAAATGGTTCACAACATAAAAATGCAAAATGAGAACACAAAATACATAATAAAAACAGACCAACAACCCCCTTCCATAAACACATTTAAAAGGCCACAGTATTTTTAAAAAAAACATTTCCCCTTCTTGCAGAGGTGGGCAGAGCCAAAGGCAAATGTGTTTGTGTGTGTGTGTGTGTGTGTGTGTGTGTGTGTGTCTGTGTCTGTGTAGCAATGCATCTAAATGCTATCTTTGTACAGTAGGCTAGTTTCTACACACATACACACAACTGTCTCTTTCTTCTGCATCCAGGCACACAAAAGGTATTATTAGAGTTCAATGACACATTCAAAGAGGTGTGTGAAGCAGAGCCAGTGAAGGGGGTGGCTTGGGAAGAACCCCACTTAGGTGCCCCCATACTACATGTCCTAGTCTCATGCCTTGCTGACTTCTTTATCCTTTCTAGGCATAGTTATGGGAGAAATGGAGATTCCAACAGAAGCTGATGACTGTATGAAACTGGGAGTGATAGTTACGCTGAATTAATTAATTACACTGAGCAAAATTAAATAGAGCAGGGGAGGGGGCATGGCAGAAGGGATTGGATACAGAGGGCATATACAGTATAATAGAAAAATTAAGCTATTACTATTGGGTCACCTCTAAAGACCAAAATAATAATGGAAGCAACTGCAGATAAATAAAAAAAACTAGAAAGTGATCTGGGTGACAGAAACATTTAGTCAGAAGAGATCAGGTTTGTAAGACTGAAGTGAGAAAAAGCCAGGCTTCCCTGAACCAAAGCAAAGGGGCATTACTTGCACTGGTGCCATTGACAGCTCTTCCAAAGTAACTTTGGCCTTTGGGAAATCCCTTCATTTTGGCATGCAGGACTTTTTCATGTCAGTTCACCTGGGAACATGAGACTTTTAATAGAAAAGAATTATTGGGTTTTAGTTGAAAATGCATAGAATTACAATTTGGTGGGCCAATGTCCTTGCACATTCAGGGAAAATGGACTTCCTCCTCTGTCTGTCTGCCTCTAATAGCCCTTCCACGGACTTCCTCTTTGTCACAGTTGGAAACAGCAAGCTGCAATACATGGACCATTGTCTGATCCAGGAGAGTTCATCTTATCCCTTTGTGGTTTAATAACACTGCTTCCCAAACCATGGTTTGTGGAAGAATTATAAATGATGGGCACTCTGGATTAGCTTTCACTCCCAACAATGCAGTAATCTACATTTACTTTCAATACCCACTTCTGCCTCCCCACCCATTCCCAGTTCGAGCAATCTCAACATTTTCTCTCTGCACCAAGGAACAACTTGATAGGTGATTAACACAGAGTTTACTTTTTCTAGTGCATGGAGATTCCAATAACCAATGCTCTTCCTTCACCTGGGAATCACCAGCACTCTTCTGTACCATACTACAGGAAACAAAGAGGCCTTCAGCAGATAAGGCAAAATCCTGCTGGCACAGCTTCTTAAGAACCTTGCTTCTTGGTGCACTTTGTAGTTCCTTGAAAGGACAAGGAGGATGTACACATTCATTTATCAGGAAATGAATGAGTGCTGTGAATACATACAAACTTGGTTGCTATAAAACTGAGTCAGGCGGGGGGGCACCAGTTCCAACTGAGGGCAGCATTCCCAGCTGTCTCCATCTCCACTATGTGCTAATGGCCTGTAGGCTGAGCGCCAAGTCCTTCTGCTGCCCTACATTGGTGAAATTAGGTTGAGTGGATTTCTGGGTAAAAGACAGTCTCTTGGGATCTGCCCAGTCCTCTTTGACTTGCCAGGATTAATTAAATTGAAGCAGACAACAGCACATTGCCACTGATCTTACTTTCTTTTTGTGGCTGGTGGCTTATGGTTTTGTTTTTATATCTGTGGGATCTTTAAATGATCAACCACAGTGCCAGTAGAAATAAATCATATCAGCACTCTAGATTCCTTCCAACAGCCTCAGAGGATTTGTCCTTCATGGTTTTCATATTTATTGTTGACACTGCTCACTCGGAAACAGCCATTACAATTCCCTTGGCACTCAACATCAACCACTTGATTGGCTTGCGTCCACCTTGACCTTTGCTCTGACCATTAGGAAAGTAGAACAGTGCTTTTATCCCTGGATCTAAGGCACAGCAACTTGGAAGTCAATTGAACTTCACTTTCCTAGAGGCAAGATTTCCATTAGAAAATCTGTGGGCCAAATCTAGCCACATTTCATCAGGTGAGCATTCATCTGTTCCTAGCCTTGTATTTGCCTAGGACTAGTAAAGCTAATGGCTGCATTCACATGTAATGTTAAACTATGGTTTAGCATTATGTTGATGAACCTCCCAAGAGCTCAAGTGAAGTGTCAGGCAGGTGTATTCCCCCTTCCCTTCCCATCCCATGCATCCAGGAAGACTTCTCCTAGTTACGTTTAACTTTCCAAGAGCAAATTTAGCATTATAATCCAGGAATCCTGGTTTGCTTTAAAAAATGGCTAGTTAAACAAGCCAGCTTCATAACCCATGGTTTGAAAAATATTTGCTTCTAGGAACTATCTTTTGTTTGGTGAATTACGATTGCAGCACATCTAGAAAAGAAGTGGGAAAGCCAAGGCCTTGGAAAGAACCTAAGTCAATTATATTTCTCACATAACCCAATATGATTTGTTTCTCATGGTAATTAAGAACAAACAGGCTAATGGCTCTGCCAAGTTCAATGGAGCTACATTAACTAAACACTACATTCTTAAATGGCCACTGGATATCTGCTTGTGTATACCAAAGTCTACAGAAATAATAATGGTGAGATTTTGTAATGGAAAGCCAGGATGTTTTATGGCATCAACATATTAGATGATTTTTTCCCCTTTAAGAATTGATTAAAATTGGAACTTAATGCTATATTTATGTGGTTTTAGCTGTTTTTTTTCTTCTGGTTTTATTCTTCATCACCTTGAAATGATTATATAGCAGGCTACTAATAAATTAATGTCAATAATATATTCATTTTATTTATAAAAGCATTTATATGCCAACATATAATAAAATAGTGGGGGTGGGGTCCTCCATCGAGAAAGGAAAGCTATTTCTCCATCAGGAGATATAGCATCTTAGAAAAGTGAAATATTACTGCTCAATAATGGGGCGCATGTTTGGCACACAGATGTCTTAGGTTCAATCCCAGGATATCTAGTTAAAGGATCTCAAATAGTGCTCTACAAATTTATTAAATGGAGCCCCACTTTTTTCGGGCATGGCGCCTTTGGGGGGCAGCAATTTTGCATGGCACCATACCTGAAAAGAAAATGCTTTTTGTGGGGCCTTGATCTCGCACAGGTCATGTGACTCATGTGGAACTGCAGACCCAGAATATGGTGCCCCAGTTTTGGGCCACGTCATGTTGGAGGGTATGTCTTCCAGTGTAGCCCAATGTAGCAGATTATAAGAATTGACATGTGAAGTTATTGGAGCATGCAACCCTGTGGTCATGGAAATACACACTGCTTGCCATGAATGCTACCTGGGCCTCCAGTGACAGAGATGGATCTAGGAGCAACCACAGATTACCTACTTGCTCATTTAAGATGAGTGTGTTTCCTTCCAGAACAAGCGAAACACCCAATTTCTGGACATACAACAGAACCTCCATCTTGTCAGCTTTAATGTTTTCAGGCCTTATCCAGCCCATTACCACCTGCAGGAACTAGTTCAGCACCGACACAGCTACATCTCTTTCAGATGGAATGGGGATTTGGGCAGAAGGGGCTCTTCAGGTGAGATGGAGCTGCAACACTAGCTTTCTGGCAGCTGGGTCACTGTTAAGAACATCAGTAAAGCCTGTATTAATGTTTCTGATTATGGAAGCACAGCATAGCCAACATGGCTACTTGCTTGTTGGGAGCAAGGGGAGGGGCAGGAACGTCAGTGTGGTGCAAAGGCACCCGTGGAGCCAATCCATGATTCCTGCGGATGTGTCTGCACTGCACAAATTTCCCACCCACCTCCCTCCTCGAAAACAGCAGTGGCGCACATACCAGGAAGGTAGCATTGTGGCTGCACCCCACCCAGAAAGCCACTTCTGGATTTAGCTTCTCCTCTCCAGGAAGCATCTCCAGAAAGCCCATCTCACCTGATCCTTCTATAGCTTTCGTTGTGGTCCTATGCACACTTTAGGTGCAGTAAGTCCCACAGAACCTACTTCAGAGTAGGCATGTATAGGATTGTCTTGTTCATTATGCAACCACTATGAAAAACTGTTGTCTGAATTTGCTTTGCTTCCTCTAACCTCCCAACTCTGTATCATGTCTCTTTGATTAGAAGCTATGGTTATAAAATGCAAACCACCTTGGCAGAAAGGGGGAATAAAAATATATTTAAAAGTAAAGCAAATAAAGAGCTGAAAATAACAAATTCAATAAAACAGGTTGATTGTCACAGAAGAAATGCATCGTCTTGGGCTAACTGTACTTCAGGTGACCAGTATTTTAGGAATTACCTTGTATGCTCCCCAAAAAATGTATATTATACACACTTTATTCCTTCCTGCCCCACCCACCACACAAAAGTGTTCTCTAATGTACCTATTTTCCTCAACCTAACAGAAGAGCAGAAGGGAGGTAGGGAGCTCTTTGTGCTATCCTGAGAGATGCTTGCTGTTTCCTGACCCAATTAAGCACTCTCCAAATCCATCGAAGCAACATCCTCCTGACTTCATTAATCTGAGTAGATGGAGGCTCCGTTTGGTGTTCTTGCACCATCCTTTCCTCTTGCTAAAGATTGTGGAATAGAAACACCATCGTGTGTGTGTGTGTGTGTGTGTGTGTGTGTGTGTGTGTAGTACATGGCGAGGAGGAGGGAGGCAACACAGGGCGTGTGCTTTTGTATGTAAGGGGTTGAGAAGGGAAGCGAGAGCACCACAGCTCCATTGCAAGGCATCTCTCACTGTGTCTAGACACCAGCTGCCTGGTCGTCATGGAAACCCTCCAACTTTGGCTGATGGGCAAAAGCAGTAATGTCTCTCCAGAGAATTCACTCAAGGGGGCTGCTGGTGGTGGTGGGAGGGAGGTGAGAGAGAGAGAGTGATGCTCTTTGTGAATGTGATGCCTCAACCCTGTTACGACTGCATTCACAGGAGGAAAGACGAGCTCACCCATTCCTCTCTCCACAGCTACCTTCAGCAGAGAGAGAGAGAGAGAGAGAGAGAATGAATATCCCAGGCAGCAGAACAAAATGCCTGAGATACGCCTTGCTGCTCATTTCTCCATCCTTCCCAACTCTCATTCTCTCTCTCTCCCACTCTCTTTCTCCCATGCTCACACAGTAACACCAGAGCTTCCTCCACCAGCACAGAAACCTTAATTGTACCTAAAGAAAGACCCCAGGGAGGGGATGGCAGACTGTCAGGTACATTTAGGGCTATTTGGAGGGGAAAGTCTCCCTGTTGAATGCTTGCCTCCCCCTCCCACCACTCACTCTCTCCGGCTCCAGAGGAAATAACACAGCACTCCGCCAACAGCGGTTCTATCATCCTGAAGACACATTTCATCAGCGTGCTTGTTTTATTTCAGTCAGCAGATAAGGGAGCGCATGGAAGAGCTGCGAAGAGGCAGCGTAGTGTGTGGAGATGGCTCATGGATGAAACCCAAAGATTCACTCACATGCAGGACTTGTAGGTGAAGAATCTCCACTTGGAAGCCCCTGAGCCAAATCTGGCCAGCTCTGTAGCTCTGAGGGCAGCTCAGAGGTAAAAGAAAATAAGTGATGACTTGGGGGAACGGACAGTGTTCTGGTCCACCATCCTCACCCTTCTCCCTTGCGTGTTTCTACCTAATTGCTGACAATAAGAGTTGGATGGTACTTTGGAGATTGTCTAGTCCAGTGTTTCCCAAACTTGGGTCTCCAGCTGTTTTTGGACTGTAATTCCCATGATCCCTAGCTAGCAAGACTAGTGGTCAGGGATGATGAGCTTGTTCAATGCAAGATCTATAAGGCTAGATGGAATGATCATGTCCCTGACAGGCAGCCATCCAGTTTATGCTTAAAAACCTTCAGCTAAGGCAAGTCCATCACTTTCAGAAGCAGCCTGCTCCACTGTTAGGTATGTTTTCCTAATGTTTGTCATGCCTGGTCCTGATGCCGAGTTCTTGATGGACAAATTGGACACTCCACAGGTCAAGGGCAGGTTGTGGAGCCCTCCAGTGTGGGACCAGCTGAGGAACCCTTGGAGCTGTCAGAGGAGGTGGAGTTATCCCATGGTCCATGAAAACACAAGTAACAAAAGGCTCTGGCATAAAAGAGACATCACAGCATGCGTCTATGGATCCTGAGTCATCATGTGGTTTGTGAGTAAGGGGTTCTACTCATGAGTAAACTACCCCTGAAATTCCTTTTCCACTAGCAGCTGGGGATTGGCAGTAGTAGTCTAGGAAGCAATACATCTCTCTAATTCTGGTGGCTTGTTTGACTGTGGGGTCTCCTCACCTTTGCTTCTGGTACATTTCGTGAACCTTGACCAGAGGCGGTTTTAGAGTAACACAACCGGTGCAGTCACACTGGGCACCATGCTAAAGGGGGTGCCACAACAATGCTGTAGAACATTGCATGAGAGGCAGGGGGTTCCACATTTTAGCATTGCACAGGTCACAGCTAAAATTTGAGATCTGATTCCCTGTGCTAGATCTTGGCTTGTTAAGACTATAGTACACCCTGAACACTGTTCTTTGGGGCTTTTACCTTAAAAAAATAAAAGCTCTGATAGACTGTGGTAATGTGTCATCAGCAACAACAAAAAAGAGGGAGGAATCCAGAATGCAGCAGAACAACATTTACTGAAAAGTTCAGTCAGAAAAGTTCAGAGGCAAGTGGAATAATTGTTTCAAGAACAGTTTGATTGTCGAAGCATGTGATTCTAATGAGCATGCCGTCACCCTTCAGTATGTGGTTCACCTTCTGTGGTACAGTCACTTGAGGCATATGTTGTTTTGAGTGTGTCCACAGAGTGCAGGAAACATTAGGGATCTGAAATCTGCCAAGATGGAAATGATTCAAAAGAGGCTTTCTGTGCTAAGTGCTTTTATGTGTGCGGGTGGGTTGGGTTATAGCCTTCCGAAGATCCGTTCTCCCAGACAGAAGCACCTGCATGATATTCCTACCAAGTATGGATTCTGACTTTACCATAACTACAGCTGTGAAGTGTTTTTCACAGCTTGAATTTGCAGGCATGGATATGTTTCCAGCTGTGGGTTGACATCTGGCAGCTGGCAAGGAGATGTTGCATGTACAAGTGTTTAAAAAGCTATTTCTACCCCATGTGGTTGTTCCGCAAAGATTTTTTTTTTCCTAGCCCTTTGGAGTGCTTATTTTTAAACTCTCAATTTTTTTCTGAGAGAAGTATGTGAAGACTGGTACTAATGTGAATGCAGTCTCAAGTGCTGTACTCCATGAAGGACTGGTCAATGTTTTTACACAGTTGAAGTCGACACAAGTTTACCAAAATGAGACAAAAAGAATCTTCAATAGCTGTGGGATGCTTCCTACAATATACATTTTATGGGTGTGTGCATGCATAACAGATTTTTTAAAAAGTCTTTAATAGTCAGCAGAAGGTGATTAAAGATGGACCACCTAAACTTCATGGGACAAGGTATTCCACAGTTTGCGTTCAGCCAATGAAGAAGCCCTAACTATTATCACAGCCAACCGTGCTTCTATGGGACACAAATAAGGGCCTCACTACTAGATTTTAGGTAGCAGGAAGGCATACCCTCCAACATTTCTCTGATGAAAATAGGGACTTTATTATTATTATTATTATTATTATTATTATTATTCCCCACCCATCTAGCTGGGTTGCCTAGTCCAGGCATGACCAAACTTGGCCCTCCAGATGTTTTGGGACTACAACTCCCATCATCCCTAGCTAACAGGATGATGGGAATTGTAGTCCCAAAACATCTGGAGGGCCAAGTTTGGCCATGCCTGCCCTAGTCACTCTGGGTTGCTTCCAACATATAAAAACATAATTAAACATTAAAAAACTGCACTATACAGGGCTGCCTTCAGATGTCTTCTAAAGGTTGTATAGCTACTTATCTCCTTAGCTCAGGATGAAAATAGGGATGTCCTGAGGAAAAGATGGACATTCTGGGATCAAATCAGAAACCAGGATGGCTTCTGTAAATTCGGGACTGTCCTTGGAAAATGGACACTTAGAGGGTCTGGGAAGGCTGAAGGAGGCAGTCCTTTATGAATGCTGGACCCAAACAAATAGTTATGACCTTGCCCCGAAATACCACTTCAGTTGTAGTCTTCCAGCTCCATAGTCAAAAAGCAGCATGCCATTTATGAGTCACCTAAGTATGTGTGGCACTCCTTCAGTAGGCCTTAAAATCCTGACTGCTAGGCGTTGCCATGGAAACAAGAGGTGGGGAAGGATTCATGCTATGAGATGGTATTGATCCCTACAAGAGAAAATGACAAAATTGGGATGGGTGTTAAAATGACATCCAGAATCCATTTTTCCATTTTCTGTACAAAAGAGAGAGAGATTGTGCCATTGTTACCATTTTAATGTAATTATTAGAGTTCCATCTTGTCTCCTGAATCAAAGATTGCTTGTATAATACTCAAACTAAAGGCAGAAACCATTTGGTACAGCCCTGTAAGTGGAAGTTTTTAATGTTTGACGTTTTGTTATGTTTTCATATGTGTTGGAAGCCACCCAGAGTGGCTAGGGCAATCCAGCCAGATGTGTGAGGTATAAATATAATAATAGTAATTTATTATTATTGACTCTCACCTGCCTTCCTGATGAAATATATCAATAATGATTATGGCAATATTAAAATGATAATATTAAGACCATGTGGGCTGCCGACTGCATGTGCTTATTTACACATCAATGTCTTTAAAGTGTTTTCGATGCAAGAGATTAACATTGCTACACCTCTGGGGAAAAATCTCACAATTTGTAACTTACAAGAGGAAAGTTCAGCACCCTGTATTTTTCTAAATGCTATACAAAGCACGTGGTCATAAGGAGCAGATGCTTTTCCACTGCAATCCTTTTTTCCCCTTTTGTGTACAGGATTTCTATAATAAAAATTACTTGATTAATGAATTCTGTTTGAACATGAGAACTGTTGAAGGCCTCAATGAGTGGAGCAATAGCTGCAGTTCCTTAATTATCAGCAGATGGCACTGTTGCTATTTTCTCACTAAATACTGTGCAATGGATGCCTAAAATGTTGCTCCAAGGAGCATACCAGAACATCTGGTTTCTGATGTTCTGGATAACCTATAGCTATGAGGTTTTTCAAAAGACGGTGCTCCATCACCAACCTATATCTCTCATATAAAGGAGGTGGCCAAGATGACTTTGCCTGTCTCTGCAAATTGGCCAACAATCCAAGAGATAGGCTTGCTTGACCTCCTTTCACCTCAGTGTGTATCTACAGATACACACAGACTTGCAATAGCACTAAAACAAGTTTCAGGAAGAGAAGAGTCAACTGGTTGTTTTCATAGTTGAGAGGAAAAAGGGGGGAGGATAAACAGAGAGATCTCCTCCTCCTGATCTAAGGACAAGCTTAATTAAGGGGAGCCCTTGCTAGTTAAAGGTAAAGGGACCCCTGACCATTAGGTCCAGTTGCAACTGACTCTGGGGTTGCGGCGCTCATCTCGCTTTATTGGCTGAGGGAGCCGGTGTATAGCTTCTGGGTCATGTGGCCAGCATGACTAAGCCGCTTCTGGCGAACCAGAACAGCACACGGAAACACTGTTTACCTTCCCGCTGGAGCGGTACCTATTTATCTACTTGCACTTTGATGTGCTTTCGAACTGCTAGGTTGGCAAGAGCAGGGACCAAGCAACAGGAGCTCACCCCGTCGCGGGGATTCGAACCGCTGACCTTCTGATCAGCAAGTCCTAGGCTCTGTGGTTTAACCCACAGCACCACCCGCATCCCCGTGGTTTAGTTACTCCTATGTAAAAAGAGCAGGGCATCCCAACCCAATGGTCCAATACCTTGTCATACAAACTTGCTTTTATTTATACAAAACCTCCACCCACCCACAAAATCTTTTCACTGCAGGGGGGAAATGATGTGAAATCAGTACAGTAGTGTTATATCTTCATTTAACTACCTGTGGTCCAGAAAATTGAAACAAGTGCACAAGATGTTCACAGAATCAAGTTTTCCAAGCATCACTCTAGCAATCTCAGCATGAACTAATAGGTGACTGTGTCAATATGTGTCTGTTTCTTCATTCAAAGACTTGTCCCACTACTTGCTCAAATATTGTATACTGCTGTTTTCCAGACTTTATTCTCGTATTGGTAGCAGTGACTAAACGGATTCTGATAGACCTTGGATAACTGAATGGAATGGAATCAGAAAATGTACAGACACACACCACATGCAGTGATAGGTCTACATTACTTTGCTGTAATCCACTGCTATTGAGCACTGTATTGCTCCCACAAAGGATAGGCCAGTCATTTGGCTCTTCCACCCCAATACTGCACTGATCTAGAGCAGATGACCCACACAATCAACCATGCCCACATGGCTGTGATATCCACATGCTTCTGGAGTATGGGGAAATGACTTCCGTATCTCAGCTGTGTGTAAAGGGAACTACACTAACATAGGTATGAACAGTCAGAAGTTCCCTTAGAACTACCAAAACATTAATGTCAAACCAACACAGTGCTCAGTAACAGAGCCATTAGCATAGTGTGCAATGCTTTGGGAATACTGTGCTCTGCCATGTGTCTTACTGCTCTTGAATGACCAACTCTGGCCAAGAAAGTAACCAAGCATTCATGGCTGTTCCCTACCCTCCCTCCATGAAGTTTTCAGTAATGCCAGTGAAGAAATCACACAACATTCGTGTACCACCAGAGAGACAGATTGACTATAAGTATCACTCGTTATTAACATAATCAAATCAAAATCCAGTTAGTCGCTGCGTTCCATAGTTTCTAATTTAACATATTGCAATTGTATCACCTTGGTAGGATGTGTCAGTTAAGGACCAAACAACAGATACACCAGACCAGACCTGTGACATGAAGTTAGGAATATTCATGCAAGCATATTAGTTTGTCAAGGATGCAAGCATTATCACTGACTAACATAATTGCTTATGAGGACACAGCATCAGCTACCTCCTCTCACTAATTACCAGCACTTGCAGTTAAGATGGCAGAGGTCAAAATCAGTTGCTTCAGCTCTCAGAGTTATTTGACTTCTGCCATGCAAATGGATTAAAATATGTTTTTTTTTAGCAGTTAATTCTGTGTCAGTGTGCCTTAGTAATATATAAATAAAAATGCCATACTTTAAGACTGAAATCTGCTACCCATCCAAAAACAGATTGCCCCTACAGGGTCCTGACATTAAACCTCCAGTAGGACCTCAGTAGTTCATGCAAACTGTAAGTTATCTGTTGGGGCTGTCAGTGAAAAAAGTGGTAGTGATGGTAGCTGTAATAGTTTGAGCACCAGTCCTTTGACAGTTAGTGAGAAAGTCCATTCAAATATATTTTTACCATTCTTCTGCTCTTGGTGCTCCAGCTGCCAACCCTGGTTGGTTTAAAATTACTCCCTAGTTCAGGCTCTCACAACCTGAGTTCCTCCAGACCTTTTGGACTACAACTCCCATCATCCCTGACAACTTGCTATGCTGGCAGGGACTGATGGGAAATGGAGTCCAGAACATCTGGTGGGTACTCAATTGAAGAAAGCTGCTCTAGTGGCACTTATAGCAGAGTCTTAAGCATGACTACTCAGACCCTTTCATGATGACACTCACTCCTTTCAATGCTACTATTAGCTCAAGAAGTGCACCTGTCCCTCCTACTTCAACTCCCATTGAGTTCAATAGGGCTTACTCCTAAGTAAGAGGTAATAGGATTGCGGCTTTAACCAGAACACAACACAATTACCACACTTTGTTTACAATCCACACAGACAAAATGCACCCACTCCAACTTCAACAAAATCAAATGATTCACATAGCTCAGCTTCCAAGGGCATATCTCAGAAAACCCACCACTGCCCTCAGACACTGCAATAAGCACTTATGGAAATACACAATGGCACAAGAGGTTTAATCCTCTTACCCACCATGATCATTTCCTGCATCTGATAATTCTCAAAGGGAAACAACATGTCCTTCAAGAAGAAAAAGCAAAATCGTGAAAGGTGTAAGGAATTTGAAATGAATGCATTTGCACTGTCTCTTGTTGAGCCAAACATGGCAAAACAGGAAGGCATGTTCAGCTGTGATGAAGATCCCATACAAGTCTGAGCCCAAGTTAGGTTGGCCTGGTTAAAGCTCTTTTACTTTAAATAGCTGTACAGAAGAGGGAATTTCAGCAGGTGTAAGCTTCAGTCGAAAACTGATCGCCGAAGAATTGATGCTTTTGAATTATGGTGCTGGAGGAGACTCTTGAGAGTCCCATGGACTGCAAGAAGATCAAACCTCTCCATTCTTAAGGAAATCAGCCCTGAGTGCTCACTGGAAGGACAGATCGTGAAGCTGAGGCTCCAATACTTTGGCCACCTCATGAGGAGAAGACACCCTGGAAAAGACCCTGATGCTGGGAAAGATGGAGGGCACAAGGAGAAGGGGACAACAGAGGATGAGATGGTTGGACAGTGTTCTTGAAGCTACCAGCATGAGTTTGACCAAACAGCGTGAGGCAGTGGAAGACAGAAGTGCCTGGCGTGCTCTGGTCCATGGGGTCATGAAGAGTCGGACACGACTAAACGACTAAACAACAACAAGTTTCAGTCTTCTTCCCAACTAGTAAATGTACAGAAGTACTGTCCTCTTTTTCACCTGGTCACCCTAGACTTGGCCCCTAAAACACAAACTGAGTTCTGTGAATGATGTGGCAGGATGGTGATCCATAAGACAACCTTAATTAGATTGTTTTCCCTCCGTGAATAACTCCCACATGCCCAGCTACAAAGGCAGTGGTTTTAATGCTAGCATCTGATGGCCTTATACACCCACTCTGCCAGACATATTAATTGCTACCCCCAAAAGCCCAGAGAGGGAATAGTGAACTCTTGTGCTGAGTCATTGAAGCCCAGGTGTGAAAATGTCATGGTAATTACTTCTGAGTCATGTTAACAGGTGCATTTAATTAGTTCTGGCCCCTCTTGAGAGGAGGGAGGGCAGAGAATTGAGGGATACATCAAAAGAGGCTCTAGTGAGAAAATATAGGTATAGGCAACAAATTTTTGGTTGCAATGCTTCTGCAGAAATTCAGTGGACCATTGGTCCATCTAACTCAACATTGTTTATAGTCATTGGCAGCTACTCTCCAGGGTTTCTGCCTGAAAATGCTGGGGACCTAGGACTTTCTACATGCAAATCAGATGTTCTGTAGAACTGCTATAGCCTTTCTCCAGTAAAACCATCTATTTTTAAAATCTAGTTAGCATGGAATTCACACTATTCTATTCTGATGAGATTCATAAGGTACTTTAAGTATGCCATTTATTGAGGGAAGTGCTTGGGGCCATATTTTAAAAAGACTAACAGTGGAATCCTATGCATGCCTATTCAAAAGTATTGCCCACTCTGTTCAGCTAAGTATATATAAGGTTGTAAAGTTAGTCCACATTCTTCAGAAGCAGTGTAAAAGGTTTACAGAGAAAGCAGCTACTTCTGTTAAACAGTATACTAGTCTTACATGATGCGGCAAGAGGCAGCTGAGTGGACAATGCAACTCACACCCCAAAGCCATTCATCAGTTTTTCCCATGGGCATTTGTATGTCCCAGTATCTTCTTAAATGAATCTCAAAATCTGTTATGAAGCCCTTTTTCAGCACATGAAAGACCCTAATGGAGCTGTAATGTACTAAAAAATGAGACCATATTCTCAGTCACCTGTCTCCTAGAGCAGCTTTGCTGAAACCTGATGTTATGATGCCCCTTTGATAAGGTGGGCTTTTGCTTTAACAAAATAAAGGGATAACTAGGACTTACTCATCTTGTATTGAAAGTTGGGACAAGGACTGTATTGCCATACCACAATTTTACAATAAGACAAAGGACTACATGTGCCTCTCTTGTTTCCGTATTCATGGAAAGACTATCTAAGCTTATGGAGCTGCTGTAGATGTTCGGAATAAGTGCGGGCCAGTATCTGGATTGTTTGTTTGTTTGTTTGTTTGTTTGTTTACTTTTCTGACCCTGGCATTCACAAATTGGAAGGCACTTGTGAATTATTCCATAAACAGATGTTCTTAGCAGGGTGCACTTAGCAGGGATGTTCCGCTATGGACCTTTATGCTGTGAAACAGGTGGAAATGCACATTACAAAGTGTAGCCCATATAACCTTGACTGTTTTCTAATGGATTTGCTCCTTTGAGCACAAAATCCCAAAAGATATTCTAGCAGCTTTTGGTTTTCATCTGAAATGTTTAGCCTATTAGATGCTGGTATTAAGGGATTGTGTTACTGCTGTAAACTACATTGCCATTTCTCAACTGTACACAACAGGCTCTCAGGTCTGCACAATGCACTATATCTCCTGCCTTCTCAAAGCTTAATTCTGTGCTTTTAAGAGCTGCATGTGTAGGTTATTTTGTGGTGGGGGGGGGCAAACCTCTCCAGGTATATAGTTATCAGACACTAGCTTGAAATGCAGGTGTTGGCAATCTTATTGCTGATATTATAACAGGTCTGATGATATTTAATTGGTCTTATTGTTTCAAATTTTGAATTATGGTGCTGGAGGAGACTCTTGAGAGTCCCATGGACTGCAAGAAGATCAAACCTATCCATTCTGAAGGAAATCAGCCCTGAGCGCTCACTGGAAGGACAGATCATGAAGCTGAGGCTCCAATACTTTGGCCACCTCATGAGAAGAGAAGACTCCCTGGAAAAGACCCTGATGTTGGGAAAGGAGAAGGGGATGACAGAGGACAAGATGGTTGGATAGTGTTCTCAAAGCTACCAGCATGAGTTTGACCAAACTGCGGGAGGCAGTGGAAGACAGGAGTGCCTGGCGTGCTCTGGTCCATGGGGTCACGAAGTGTCAGACACGACGAAACGACTAAACAACAACAACACTGTTTCAAAAATCTCTCCCTTCTGATGCTAGAAATACCTGTTCTGATGTCACCTGTTCTCACTGGTGATAGGCCAACCAGGGCACCCTACTCATATGCTGACACAAACAAATCCAGTTGCATTTGGACACTTTCTGGCAGATATACAGCTTAATCAACTTATACATGTCTACTCAGAAGTATCCATTATTTCAAGGCACATATTCCTATAGTCTCTTGTCTTGTTTATTCTCTATCAACAGTCTGGTTAAACTGTGAAATGCAGATTGATCTTGAATATCTAACATGCAAAGACTAGCATGCAATTGGTGTGCAACTTGGAACAAAACCACTTCACTGTGGCATAGACAATTTTAGGCAGGGTTAGTCAAAGAACAAGGAAGGGTATGTGCATGTGTGTAGAAACTAGCCAACTGTACAAAGTGGAGGGATTACATTCATTGCTCTGACCACTTCTCCTCCTGGCCCCACCCTGCTCACTGGTGTGTGGCCCCTGAAAGGTTGCACAGAAGGACATGTGGCCCTAATTGTGAAAAAGTTTCCCCATCACTGCTAGAAATTCAGAAACTCTCACCCATAGGTCAATTAACAAAGCAACAAGATTCTCAATCAGCAATTCAACCTGAGTTTCAAGGTGTAGAGAGCCTGGCCTCACTTGCCAATTTCTAAGTCTACCAGTTTACCAGAGTCCCATAGGTTTTTCTCACTAGCCTAGCCAAGCAGTATGGCACCCATACAGAGCAAACTGAGCCTGTTGACAACCACCCAGATCCCAATGCAGACTTAATTAAGCAAGACCTTACTATTTTCAGTTAACGTGTTCAAGGAAAAGTAGATTTGGAGTATAATCAAGAAATAAAATGAAATGTCGACTCTTAAGAGAGGGCATGCTCCAGATAGACAAAAGGCAAAAGTTATCTTATGTTAGAAGTGAAGATATTTCCAGATGATTCCTGAAGTTAAAAATCAGTTCCCCTTTCCGCTTCCCTGGAAGAGATTTTGATTAACATGGCAGCATGTTCATTCCACCAATAACAAAAACCAGTATCAGGACCTGGGATAGCACAGATCCCCCTTTAGGACACAGAGCATAAACAGCAGTAGAGAGAATGATTTCTGAACTTCTGAACTATCCTTATTTAGAAGTTGTGGGACAACATTTCTATGGGTCCAGCCAGTCTGCTGGCTCTTCTGCATTAAAAGAGTACCTAATTCCCAATCCCTAGCTCTCAAAAACTTTGATCGAGCTGATCAGAGACAAGCATGTTTGAAGCTATTTCCTCACTGGGATGCAATTAATATGCAGGTTCCTAGGAGGATGCGGAAGCTAGAGACATTGACTGGTGGTTGTTGTTGTTGTCGTAGATTTTAAAGAAGAATCCATCTTTGTGCTGAAGTCTGTTTTGCTGCTCAGGTTACCTGGGGAAGATAGATGAGAGCTGGCTTTGAAGTAGGGGATGAGAAAACCCCTTTGGAACAAAAGGGCTACATGATGAGAGTTGCTTTCTCTAAGGGTGATCTTGGTGATGAGAGATGAGATTTTTACAGTGAAGAATACTTATGGTAACTAACTCTGCAATCCCAACCTCACTTACCTGTGAGTAAGCCCCATTTCATTCAATAGGACTTACTTTTGAACAGACATGGGATCGTGCTGCAATAACATATTCTAAAAATATTCATTCATTCATTCAGACGGTCAAGGCTTTTATATGGTATCCATAATATTTATCCCAGGGCAGTTTACATTGAACAATAAAGCTGAGTAACTACAGCAATATAATATATACAATTAAACAATTAAAATCAGCAAAATTTGAGATGATTAAATGCCAATTAGATGTGAAAGCAACAGCTAACATAGCATCCTTCCAATTTTAACATACTTCCAATTAAAATGGCTGAGAGAGTAAATGTGTCTCAACCTGATTCCTAAAAGTTAACAGAATGGGTGCCTGGCGACTCTCAAATAAGCTGGAATAAGACATGGGCTGAGTGACATCATTTGGTACTCTACTTTAGGCAGAAAACTGACTTAGGAAAGCCTAAATGGTTCCGTGTCTCCTTATTAAGAGACATAATTTAAAAGGGGACCGAGGAGGAAGCATGTGACTTCCTTTTTTTTAAAAAAAAAATGATATTTATTGAAATTTTTTTAGAATTACAGAAAAGAACACAGCAGAAAAAGAAAAAAGAGAAAACAAAGAGAAAACAAACCACATCAAACAATGTAGATTCAAAAAAACAAAAATACACCACAAACAGATAAAAACAAATCCATCATTCTCGAATCCTCAACTTTCATTACCTTCTTTCTTTGACCTCCTCCTCCTCCCTTTTTTTGTATCCTAGTTATTAATTATCGCAGCAAATCCTTTCCATATTTCATAATATTCTGTCATTACATTACCTTAATCTATTTTCATCTTATCTTATAGAAAACCTTAAAACTTAAAACTTAACTCTTATTTTTACCAACTTCTCATAACCATAATATTCTTACCTAATTCTTTAGACATTTTTGCTAGAGCCAAGTAATTTCGTTCCAACATTTTTCTAACATTCATCAATTTTATAAAACAATCCTAGTAATAAAAAGAAAGAAATAAAAACAATCCAATCTTCATCCAGCGTCCCTTCCTCCTGGTCCTGGGTTTTGTCAGTCCTCTTTATCCCATTGATCTAGCGCATTAACCTGGTAACCTTATATCCGAGGCCCTTAAGTCTCTTCCATGTCCCTTCCGCAGCTCTTCTTCATATTCTCCTTTCACTCATGGGAACTCCAGCTTAGTAATGTTTTTGACCCTTTTCAACAAATCAGCCCCTTTTCCAAAGTCCAGACTAAACTCCATGTGGTATTTAAAAACATGTTTCAGAATCCCTCCAAGATTAAGAGCCCCCACAGCCCCAAACATCTCACGGCCCATTGCCAGACTTGGAAAGTCCAAACATCCCTGCATAGGGGGGTCTATCCAACCCCCCATTTCCAAACCAGTCCAAACCTTATCTTTCCAAATCTGGCTTTTTCCAAGTTCATTTGTCAAATCCAAAAGCTCATGTTCCTGCAGGGCCACAGCTCCCTCCATCTCTGGCGCCCAAGATTCAGCAACATCCTCTTCTCTCATCTGTTCTGTCAGGGCACACTCCTGATTTAATTCCTGGGTGGGCTCCATATAGTTTCCCACTGCCTGTTCAAAAATTCTGACCGCATTAGTCATCAAATCCAGTATTCTCATTTAACTGTTCCAGTAGGGCATTTGTTTTACAGAGAGCACACAACAGAGCTTCTGAATACATTGTCCTACAAGGTCACAAGTCTATTTCCCACGATTGTAATCTATAACAGCTGCAAGCTCCCTGGAATTAGTTACAGTTTCACAGTCTCCCTCTAGGGGGAAAACTTATATTTGTTCTTTCTTTTAAGGATGAATCTAGCAACAAAGTTTCCTTTTTGAGATATTTTGTCGATATTTGTTCCTTTAAAATGTGAAAGGGAACAGTGGAATCACTATGTTTCTCTTCTTTTAGCTATATGTCAAAAGCGTTTAGCTCTGGTCAATGAGCTTCAAACATCAGTCCTGACACCCCGCTCCAGGATCAGGACGGTGGAAAGTTACTTTACTTTAAACTCACTTCTGCAGGTTTAAACAGTCCGAAAAAAGATCCCCCTTCTTCTCCTGCTTCCGAAGGGGGGTTCAACAATTTTAAATGATGAAAGTTAATCTTTTAGAAGCGATTTTCTGAGCTCTAGTTTACGTTGTCTTTGCTTTATTCTGTCTACAAAGAAACGGAAGGCTGACTTCCTGTTTAGACCTTCCCGTTTCAGTGCCAAATTGAAGTAAATTTTTAAGTCCAATTCCTTTCTGCTCGCAAGTCCTTATTTAAAGTCCAATTGTCCGAAATTTAAGTACTCACGGGTGATTATTTTAGAAGCCAAATTGTCCCAGGAAAAAGGCAGCGCTCTCCGGCAACGGCTATGCGGCTTCGCTCCACGGAAAAAGCAGTTGACTCTCAGCACCGCGCCACTTCCCCCTCTTCGCTTCGGAGCCCGTTAGTGGGTTCCTTTGCGGGTTGGGGGGCGCTAAGGGTGCCCGCCGAGTCCCATGGTCACAGGCTTCATCCGCCTGTGATTTTTAAAAGGGTCCCCGCTTCGCCGTAGCGGAAAAGACCCGTTTCGCGCGGAGCTAGTCCCTCCAGATCAGAGGGAGTCCGCCATTGCCGATGGCGCCACCCCGGAAGTCCCGGAAGTCCTTGGGAACAGTCAGCAAATCACCAGGAAAGCCCTTCTGCCAAATGTCCAAAGCCATGACTAGGGAACCTGTGAACCACCTTTTGCTGTTTAATTATTCTGGGTAAAATTCAAGGTAGCACTGTGGTGGTCGTTCCGTCTGTGCAAGCGTTGCAGCTTGCCAGATGGAACAATCACCCGTCTCCTACATGTGCGGTTCTGGGGGCGGGGTTCTTCACCCCACTCCTGAGCCAATTATGGGGAGTGCATGGGAGGAGGAGAGTGGGGAGCCCCATTGCAGAAACCACTGACAATGTGCAGGATTTCCGTTGACACAGTTTGTTAAGTGAATCCCATCCTTAAGTAATCTATAGTCCCCTTTTCAGAAAATTTCTTACAAGGTGATGAAAAATGTTGTTAAGTTAAACAATAACAGTATTATAAAAATGCTGCAGTAATACACAAATAATAATACAAAGTATTCATAAATAAAACAAACCATCTCCCATCAGCCAGCATGGTTAGGGATCATGGCAGTTGAAAGTCCAGCAATATCATAGGTTGCCCAACCCTAGTTGTAATACCAGAATATGGGGAAAGCACTTATCACTCCTTGGTATTAAAAGTGGAAATGCAATCTATGAGAGGGAGGGAGTATTTGCAAAACATTCGTAATTAGCAATAAAGCCAATAAACATTCCTGACCAGAAACAAACAGGGAAGAACAAGGAGTTCCACACTGGATTTCATTGCACAGGAGAATGCAAGGTTGCATATGATTTCAAGTTTAGACATACATGTGGCCCTTGTTATACAGAGCTTGTGAAGAAGGAAATTACACATTGCATAGCTAGATTGAACATTATAGTTAATCCTTCCATTGCCATCACAGGGGAGCCAGTGTGTTTGCTCACTTAATAGAAATCAGTGCATAGATCTCTGGATTAATGCAAGTGAAATTGGAATAGGCACTAAATTTGCTCAGTGTGATAGCAGCTACAAAGCACGGTGTTTCAAATACTCCGATAAAATGGTTACATTAGAACTAGATTTCTTCATACATTTTATATTACAACTGACATTTCCTGTATGCACAAGTGATACCCAAAGTAACTGAAATGTGTCTCTTTACCACTATCCTGTATGAAATAAAATAGAGCTTTTCAAACATTTTGGAAACCATCTACAGAGATCCAGGAAACTGAAAGTAGAATGGAATAGTTATCCATAGGTTCTTGAGATATACAGACCCCTAAAACAACCTGAGAACGTGGCGAAACAGAGAAAGCCTTAATGTAGAACAATGCAGCAAAGATACAGTGCCACATTAAAAGAGAGAGAGAGATTTTGCCAGCTTTACATGCATAATTTGACTTTCCTGAGTACAGAGGCATACTTTCTTCTTCAGATAGCTATGTAACCCTTGAGATCATTGTCACATGAAAACCTGGCCTTTTCCAGCCAGGTGATCTACCAGAAATTGTCCTTTTATTGCTTTAGAGCAATAGCTGGTATATATGTGATAACTTTGCAGTGACTTTCAGAACAATCATATCTTCAAATTATGCCCAGCAGGCAGGATAGGACCTCATGATCTGGCAGAGGACATCACTGTGCCACTGTAAAAATCTTTATGCCAGCACAGAGATACTTAGGCCTTGGAAGGACATTGATCCTGGTAGAGCCCTTACACAAGAGCAGTACCACCTGCACAGTGGACATGAAGTGTGAGAGGAACCAAGTTAGAATCCTATGCTCACTCAAGGCTCCATCCCACCCCTTGAGATAGCGCAAGTTATGTGCACAAACAAGGTAGCCTGGTGGCTCACAAGTTGACAGAGAGATAGCATCAGTAGCATAATGGAACTCAGAATAAACTGAGCTATTTTCTGAACCTTAGGGGGAAGCAGTTGCATTTTCCAAGTTCAGTAGTGATCCTTATATGAGAAAGGTTGAGTAAATTCCAAATGTAGGGACTATCTTTACAGGATAGAAGAGAGGGAACCTGGACTTCCTATACCATGCACCTCCAAACTCGGCCCTCCAGGTGTTTTGGGACCACAACTCCCATCATCCCTAGCTAACAGGCCCAGTGGTCAGGGATGATGGGAATTGTAGCCCCAAAACATCTGGAGGTCTGAGTTTGGGGATGCCTGTCCTATGCAATATCAGTTTTAAGCAAGCATTTTTGTAAAAGATCAGTGCATGTCCACATCTCTACAAGAATAAGTTGCATGTTTCAATCGCTTCAATGGATCCCGCACAAGAGACATTCCAGCTCAGTTGTGCCAGATGTTAAGAAATAAAAATGATTATTATAATTGTAAGTCCTGAAATATCTTGATTACTACAGTTACTTAATGCACTAGGCAATTCCTGCATACTGCTCGATTTCAGATGACATCATGGTTTCCCAAACATAGGACAAATAAAGGGAAGGGTATGTCTACTGTCAATGTCACCCATGAGATCATGTCCTTGAATTAGAAGATTGAGGCAGTAACTATAGGAAGATTTATTCCAGATGAACACCACCGCAAAAATGTGGGCTGACCTGTATTTACTTTTTTGTAATAGTGAGAGCCAAGTGTGCCTTGAAAATTAGCCAGCCAATGATACCATCTTGTAGCCAACTAGATTTATTTATTTGTTGGCAGCCTTCCACTACCAATTACAGTGCCAGCCTTTGCTCACTGAAATAATAATGCCAACGATTTTTAGAGCAAGTGTCAGGCATCTCTATGAAGACTCAGGAAATTCCTACGAAAGTTGAGGTCCACCTTTCACACTCCAAGCCAGCTGTCATTGGCCCCTTTAGAGAGTAATGCATGGTGTATACCATAGAGCACCCTCAGGTCATTAAGGGGAGAGAAGGAAAGGATCTACTTCGTGGGAAGTGGATTAAAGGTAGGCACCTGACTGTGGAGACAGTAGGGTGGAGCATTTATGAGGTGAGCAAGCACCTTTTCATGGTGTGCCATGAAAGCAGTTAAGTGGCCCTGCTCGCCTTTCAATTATAGTTTAAAGGGAAAGTGAATATTCACTCACCCAATCTATTTTAATTCCACTTTGTATCCAAGAGGGCCCACAAAATGGCATCATCGGTAGACACACACATTTTTATTCCTGTCTTCATTTCACAATTTTATGAAATGTTTGGACAATGTTAATTTAGAGCCAATTAAGCTAAGCAAACATTGATTTTTGCTCAGCTTAATTCCAAGCAAAAAAAAAAACCCAATCAATTTTCCACTAATAGCTCAATCAGCTCAATCAATTTCTCACTACTATCCTACAATTCATTCTAATATAATCAATCCTATCACTTTTTGTATTGGCTTTGCAATGGTTTTGCTACTATGATCCAAAGGGTAGAGGAAAGCCCTCAAACTTCTCATCTGTTCAAGGAAAGATAGGTTTTGTTGCAGAATTCATGGTCTAGTTTTAATAAGCTGAGTCAGCTGTGTGAAATGGAGCATGATCTCCAGGCTGGCATGTGAACTGTTCAAAGAGCCTGGAATTGAAGTATAGTGTTAAATCCTAGATGGAACCTTGGAAATTCCTCTTGAAATACCTGAAGATGTTTTGCCTGCTCAGGAGCATCCAAATTTGCCCGTTTCTGTCAAATATTTGTTTTGTTATTTATTGGATTTCTAACCCACCATTCACTGTAAGGTCCCAGGGCAGGTTACAGCAATACAATTACACAATTTAAACAAAATAAAAGAAGTAAACAATTTATATGCAATTATAAAGGCAAGTAAAACAATCTGAAGCAAAAGCAGTGCTATATAGTTTAACCCAAATATAGAGGGGATGGGTCCCACAAAAATACCTGAATTCTCAGAGTCCAAGACAAAGAGGTATGTCTTCAGCATACGGCTGAAACTGTATAATGAAGATGCAAGATGCATATCTGCAGAGAGGTGTTCCAATGTAGGGGCTGCCACAGAGAAAGCCTGGGCTGCATTTCCTGCACTTCTGAGGGTGGCAGAACTACCAAGAAAGCTCCTCTCCTGAGTCTAATACCCAAGAGAGGCTGTAGGGATGGAGGCAATCTTTCAGCTATTTAGGGCGTAAGTTGCTGAATAGTTTGGGTGAACCAGTTCTACCTAGCAATGTTGCCAATTTACTGGGCTGTTGAATCTAAGTTTTTTATTTTGTCATTGTTCCTCTCCTCCCACCCCTTGCTATCTTTCTGATGAAAAACTTCACTGGAGGGAGAAGTTCAGTGACAACTTTAGAGCCAAGCCATGGGCAACCTAAGGCTTCTTGGCCTCCTCACAGTAAGTTACACTGGTATTATTGTAACACAATGCATACATGGCACTGTGCTTTCATAATACAATCAAAACTGATACATGGCATAACCAAGCTTCCATGCTTGCCTTGTGTATGGCGCCACTGTAATTGTTACAAGACAAGCCTCTCTCTGCCTATTGGTTGATTCAGAAAATGAAAGAATGGAATATTTAAATCAGAACTCAGTGGAGGATCGTGCAAGGTTTGCCATAGTTGAGGATGGGCCATCTGCACCCAGTGTCTATTCACAGACCATATTCCACTGCCCATTTGCTCTGGCACAGTGCCACAGAGATTAATTGGACTACACGGGAGCAAATGAGCTTTTCAGCCTCTTTCAACATGCCTATTGACTGAAAATGCCCCTAAGCATCTTCTATGCCATCCCTTCCCCCACCTCTTTCTTCTCCCTGGCCCCAGCAAGAAAAGCTCAGTTCCTGCTGAAAATAATTTACCCTTGTCAACCAGAATTGTGAAGTTTATTATACACATAACCTATGTGTCCTTGCTTATTCAGTTCATCCCACTCAAAGTTTTAGATTACTAGCTTTATGGTACTGGAGACATTGCTTTCCCATGAGATTTACAGATCAATTTGGCAGAAACTGTGATTCAAAATCATCTCTGGCCCATCTCCATTGAAGTCATTTGGAATCGAGCCATACGAAAACATGACCCAAGGAGGAATGGATACATTTCAGTTTGGCTGCTCTTTCTGCCTGATACGCTGTACATTTTACTATTTGCTTATTGCTGTTTGGAGAATAAGGCTATTAATGGTTACTAGCCATAATTGCTGTGTGGCATGCCCCTAAATAATAATTGTTGAGAATCACAAGTGGGGTGAGTGTTGTTTTGCTCAGGTTCTGCTGGCCGGCTTCCCAAAAACTGCTGGTTGGCCACTTTGAGAACAGGATGCTTGAGCTAGATGGGGAGAGGGAAACACTAGTAGTTTAAGTCTCCAGTATAGAGCCCACCTGCACAATTCCTATGCTGGTTTCAGATTTTGCAATTATAAGCCACCTTTTCTGGGTTATCACACCAAAGCCTATTGTCTTCCCCTTATCACCCTTGCACCACAAACCTCCAGCTGACCTTACCACTATCATTTTGCCATTTTGCCATTTGTGTCCATTTGTTATACCCTGCATGTGCCCACTCAATAGCTTCGATTGGTGGAATTGGCACTACTACAAGTGCCACACAATACCCATTCCACATTAGTAAGAATTCAATCATTTAGTGTGGCAGCACCCCCACTTTGGAATTCTGTGCCTCTTGAGATCAAGCAGACGTCTCCACTGTACTCTTTTAGGCACCTGCTAAAAACATTCTTGTTCCAACAAGCCTACCCAGATGCTTAGAAAGTTGAGGTGATTTTAATTTGTTTTTAGTATTTTAACTTTTGTAGGTTTAAAAGTATGGTTGTGAAATTTTCTGATTTTACTGTTTTATCTTTTGTAAACCACTTTGAGGGTGGTGGTTGTTGATTTTCAATCAATCGGTGTATGCATTTTATGAAATAAACTAAAAAATTCAATCTGTGCTGGCCCAAGGCAGTTTGCTGCCTGGGGTAGAACAGTAAATTGCACTACTCAACCTCACACTCCACCCCACTGCCCAGTCAAGACACACAGTACCCAAAGCTGGTCAAGTTATTCTGGCACCTGAACACCTCTCCCCACCTTTTGGATGTGTAAATACAACAATAAATTAAATTGCTGACCATTTACTGCTCTCTCATCACCCCTCAAATCAGCTGCCCTGGGTTGTGGATCTATCAGGCAATGCAGTAATCATGGACAGAAATGGCCAGATGTTATGGCAACTTTATTATAAATGGTATAATCTGGTGGCTGTGGGTATGTTATGACACCCAACCCAACCCTATCATGGTGGACAAGGCTCAAAATCTTTTGAGCGCCCAGAGTTTTTGAAACTTCTCTCTTGCAACACTTAAAATGTATCTCTCATAATGTTTGAAAATAGGTTTGTTTTCCTTATGGGTGAAACCTCCTTATGAGGTTTGCAGGGGAGAGCAAGGGAGATAAATCTCTTGCTGGTCATGTCAAAGCCCAAGGACTGTAAATTGGGTTCCTCTATCATGGAGCAGTACCACAGAGCCAGTCAACTGCCAACTTTCATTTAGGATAGATGGCTGCCTGCTTTAAAGCTACACCTGCCCTGTTCTCATGAAGGACCACTGGTGGCTTAATCCTAATGTTAATCCCCATTTCCTAGCTCACACATCACCACTCTTATCTCCTTTCCAAGACAGCTTTCCTCCCTTGCTATTGTTAGCATACCTGTCTTCTCTTCGGTTTGGCTACTCTCCGCTGTGTCTGTTTGGGGTTGCGCTGTTGCCTTGGCAGTAGCATCTTCTGCAGCAGTGGGGGTAACGGCAGTAGTGACAGTGGCAGGCACTTCGGCTTGTTTAGGTTCCTCCTTGACTTGGGCTTCCTCGGCCTTCAAGGATGGTGAATTATCGGTAGAAGCTTTAGTGGCACTTTCCGTTTCAGCGGCAACAGCAGCGGACTTTTCCTCCGACGGGGCAGCGGGAGTAGTGGCCTTTGTGGCAGGTTGTTCTGAACCAGTGTCAGCTGTGCCCTCCCCCTGCTTCTCATCTGCTGGAGTGCTTCCTCCTTTGCTGCCATCGGCAGGCAGGGCATTCTCAGTTGGAGCAGCTTCTGTAATAGCAGCTTTGCCATCCGCCAAGCCATTGGCGAGGACTTCCTCCTTCTTCTCACCAGCTTCAACATCAGTAGTTTGGGAATCTCCCTTCTTCTCCCCCTTGAGCTTTTTCCTTGTTATGTGTCCACGGAAGCTAGCCTGAATTTTGGTGGCTGCCTTATGAGCTTTATCTTCTGGTTTGATGCCATCTTGTTCAATCTTTTGGTCAATGTCATCATTTTTTTCAACCTTTTGTGGGGAGAAGAAAAGAGAGGGGAGGTTTGATTAGAAATCTCTCGAGCAAATACATTCAGTGAAAGTTAGTTAGGGTGTTTGGGCAAGCATACCGCAGAACACACATAGCAAACATAAAGCAATTACAGGAGGCTTTCATTTTCCTCATTCCTGGTACTTGCTGTAATAAGCAAAGTTAATAGTAGAAAAACATGTTACTACTATTATGCAGCATTAAAGAATGAAAATCCAGCATGTGGCTTCCATTCCATATTCAACATGCTAAGCCAATCCCATATTTATTATAATTTGAACTCTTAAGAGAGACACTTTATACTTATTAGGGAAGATAGGTGAGCTGCCTATCACTCAACACCGGTACACCGTTCCCATAGCAACTGCCACTCTACAATGATGTTCTGTGCTGACCACACCAATATGTTCAGCCCATGCTCTGCAACATTCAAGGAGACTTTGAAAGCACTCTCTCCATAGCTTTTAGGAGCTGTAGGCTTGAACTGCCACTTTCCTTCCATGGTCAGCACAGACCTGTGGCAACCACTGCAAAGGACCCGTCCCCAGAGCTTCAGGATTTTGGCAATGCCTCTGAAGAAAGCATGCATGGAAAAAGCCATATACTTGTCACAGGGCTTGCAGGTCATGCCAGATAGATAGATAGATAGATAGATAGATGATAGAATGGATCTGTATATGCATCAACTAAACATCTCATTTAGAATTTTGAAATGTGCTGTTCAACAGTAAGAGCAAAATGCAGCAGCATGGCCAAATATATGGAGCACATCTCAGTGATCCATTTCCAGGTACAATTCAAAGTATTGGTTCTGACCTACAAAATCCTAAGTGGCTCAGCACCAGGTTCTTTGAAGGGGCATCTATTCTCAGATGGACATTTATGGGTGTAAAAAGTCTTGCCACCTTAGGAACACAAGAAGCTATCATATACCAAGTCAGACCATTGTCCTGCCTAGCTCACTCCTGACTGACAACAACTCTCCAAGGTTCTAGAAAGGAGCTCGTCTCAGCTTTGACTGGAGGGGCAAACTCTGGTTTTTCAAATTTCAGTGGCACCCTGTGTGAGGCCAAAATTTGGCACCCCAGCTCCTGCATATCACCTTCTGTTATGCTCAATTCACTACATCATAGTGGCAGGGTCCTACAGTGCCCCTCCTAGGCTTGGCGCCCAGTGTGGCGGAACCAGTTGTGCTGCCCTAAATCTGCCTCCCGGACTTTCTGCACACAAAGCATGTGCTCTTTCATGAAGCAACAGCCCTTCCCAACATATCTTCTGAGATGAGGTGGTGACAGCAAGACAAGGCGCCTCCTCTGCTGTGGCAACAATTCTCTGGAATCCCCTCTACCAATAGAGGTACCTGGCATTAGCCTTGTTTTCTTTTCTGTGCCAGGTAAAAACCTTTTTATTTGCCCAGATTTTTTAAGTGCTTGATGAGATTTACTGTTACTGTTTTATCTTAATTTATTGCTCCTCTGTGTCTTGTTTTATTGAGATGTTTATGACTCATTGTATTGCATTGTGGTTTGATTATTTTATTGCAAGCTGCCACTCTGAGAGCATTGCTGAAGAGTGCCCTATAAATACTCTAGATAAATAAATATTTATCATGAAATACTATCCTTTTGTTTCCAAAACAAGGGGTACATTTATCAGATGGTTTCTTTTAAGTGTGGTTTTAAATGACCTGACCTACAGTGCACACTGGCAGCCTCTATCTAGTGCAAACATAAGCACTAAGTTGCTTTAAATGTTTCCTAAAGAGGTATTAAATGATGGATAGCTCTGTTTTGACTTCTACACATGAATAAATGCCATCTTTTAGGTCTCTTTTTATGTACATATTCGTCTTCTCTTAGTAATTCACCAGCCTTGAGTACAGCAGACTGATGAGAGGCTGACCTCGTCAGACCTCTATAGCTCAGCTGGTAAAGCATCAGACTCTTAATCTCAGGGTCTGGGTTTGAGCCCCATGTTGGTCAAAAGATTCCTGCATTGCAGGGAATTGGCCTAGATGACACCCGTGGTTACTTCCAACTCTACAATTCCATGATACTATGGTCAGGTAATTAGCAAACAGTTTGTGGGAAAGCAGAGGCAAAATTTAAATGGGCTGGGCAGGGTGGGGCATAGCTGAGTGGCAACAGCACATGCTTTGCCATGCAGCAAGTCTCAGGTTTAAGTCTCAGATTCAATCCTCAGCATCTCTGTTGAAAAGGATCATGTAGCAGACAGTGGGGAAAGTTTCTGCCTAAGACCCCAAAGAGCTTCTGCCCATTAGAATACACAATGCTGGGGTAGATATAAGGCAATTTCCAGAGGGTATCTAGAGTATCTGTGTTGCAGTACAAAAACAACAACAACCAGTATTGTGGCAAATAACAAATAAGCTTTTGTAAGCTAGAATCTACCAGATGCATAGTGTAATTCACAGTATACAGCCACACGGGGAGAACTTTAAGCAGTGAGATCAAACATGCTTTGTTCTCCTGGCCCATGGTTGGTGGGCCAGTCTTTGGTTACATACATCTCCCTCAGCTGAAACAGCTACTCACCAGCAACAATAGCCCACACAACCTGTGGAACCGCAGCTTGAAGCTGACCCAGATACCAACTCTGTCCTCCCAACACACCAAATCAGGCAACACAATTGCAGGAACCAAAAATGTCAGCCACATCATCAAGGGTCGATTTACTTGTTCATCTTCATCATATACATTACTATTATCTGTCAGAACTGCCCTTCCACATTCTGCACAGGGCAAACAGCCTAGTCCAGGTATAAAAGAATCATACGGGCACAAATATGACATCGGAAACGGTAGTGTTCAGAAACCTGTGGGAAAACATTTCATTCTACAAGGATGCTCTGCTATTGATGTTGAAGAGGCCAAATGTGAATAAAGGAATTTCAAGGGATGGGTTCCAATGTGAAACTCCTGGATTATATTTAATCAAGAAGTTCAGTTCTATTCATTTGGATCTGAGTAGAGACAATGGTTTCATATCCTGCTACAGGTGTTAATTCACTCAGCATTACTATCTCGATTGTTTTATCACCTATCACTATACTTATTTTGTATACATTATAGCTCCAATTGAATTGTAATTGTCACTGTTTCTTGCATTTCAACTTCCTCCGACTTCACTGCTTACACACACACACCACTAATACAATACGATTTAAATATATATTTGCAACTGAGTATGCATCTTCATACATCTTGTGAAGTGGGCTCCAGTCTATGAAAACTTATAGCATGATAGTAGTCTTTAGGGAGCTACAGCACTCTTGTTGTTTTTGATGTTCATAAAGTAATGGGAAAGTCCTTCTTCTGCTCAGGACCCAGGGGAGCTGCTGCCAGTAAGAGTCAACAATGCTAGGCTGGATGAATCTGATGGCCTCTCCATTTTCAACATCCATCCTGAAATTTCCAGTGGGGCTCCCAAAGGTAATGTTCTGTACATACACATTTGTTCTTTCAAATGGGCATCTTGGAATGCATTAAGAACCCATTTGCAAGCTTGTCGCCTGGAGATCTTTCACAGCCCCAGGGAAATCCTGCAGGATGAAAAGCACAGCACAGCTATCTGAAGCTCTGTTTGAATGCACTGGGGGAGAAAGCCACACTTGAAATAGATTTTCAGTCTCCTTCTGTAGGAGTTACAGGTTGGTAGCCGTGTTGGTCTGCCGTAGTTGAAACCAAATAAAAAAATTCCTTCCAGTAGCACCTTAGAGACCAACCAAGTTTGTTATTGGTATGAGCTTTCGTGTGCATATCTGCACACGAAATCTGAAGAAGTGTGCATGCACACGAAAGCTCATACCAGTAACAAACTTAGTTGGTCTCTAAGGTGCTACTGGAATGATTTTTTTTATTTTGTTTCTTCTTTAGGAGGACAAGCAGAGGAGTGGGGTTGTCCCCACAAAATATGGCGGCTCTTGAATCCAGGTGGTGGTCAGGAAGCAATACGCAGCCTGAAAGCTGAGAGCTCTGAAGGCAAGAGGCGTTCAAAGGCCAACAGCCCTAAAGGCAGTGGAGATCTCTCCTTTAGTGCAAATGGAACACTGCCCCACCAATCACAATCTGACTTCAGTCTCCACCACTGGATGGTGCCGCCTATAAGTTTCTTCCTTCTCAGTCTCAGTTTTGCCCTTGTAGAACTCAGCAGAAAGGAGGATGGGAACAAAACTCTTCCTATCATTGGCTATGATTGTGCCTGTCATTGGTCCCTTGCCTTATGCCCCACCAGGTCCAATGGACACCAGTCACCACTGCCTGCAGCATGGGAAAGCAGATGCAACATGGTCAAGGGGTTTGTCCAGCATGACACAAACTGTTCCAGGCTAAGGAGCTAAACACAGGGACAGGTTCCCACAAAGGCAATTGAGTGTGGTTCCCACTTAGAGGCAGGCTTACCAATGCAGCTAAGCAAACCCTCACAAGTAAGCATGCTTCTGCATATGTATCACTTTACGGCACAAGTCTGATGTACATTCAAAAGCACAGCAGAATGCTTGTTGGTGCCATCTGTCTTCACTGATCACTTTCAATGAGATATGCAAATGCACATCCCCATCCACAAACAAGAACCAATGAGTCAGATGTGGACAGCGGTGCTGGGTGAGCTGCAGGAGATAGGACTCCGCTACCACTGCAGTGCAAGTGACTGAGGAAAGCCAAGGAGGCCTTGCCTTCACCAGCAGCAATGGAGGAAGGTGTTAAGTCAGATACCCAGCTGCGAAGTGGCCAGGGGGATCCTGTGCAGCCTGGATCCATGCTGCTGGTGTGTCACTTTCCTGCTTGGTGCTGGCTTTCTTGCCTGCCTCATTATGCCCTGCTAGCATTAGCAGGAAGAAAATGCTGCTATGGGTTGATGGGACAGACATTAAGCTGGTGAGTGCCTGCAGATTATTAGGGCGATGGGATGGCTGACTAAGAAAAGGTGATTAGTGACCCATGAGTGTTGGCTTCTCTGAGACTCAAATATTTTTCCAAGCAGTCTCCCCAGTGACCCTCCTGGTCCACTGGAGCTCTACAGAACTGACATTGCTGATCTCAGTATCTTACATTCTAGTAATTTAAGAAAAGCTGGTTCAGCATTGTCACGAACACAGGTAACCAGCTTATTCATTCTGATTCATTTGCACAAAGTTTCTGCGGACGTTGTATGATGTCCATTGTTCACTGAGCATTCACACCCTGATTTGTTTGTGTCAAGGTTATATGGCTTTCCACCAATCTAATGTCATCCCACATTTTCCCATAACTTTCCTTACAGCAAAAAGTCTATTTTGTGTTGTGTTTGTTGTTTCTGAGAGTCAGAACACTTTAATCCACTTTAACTTCACAAACCTCAATTTGCCAGTATTTAAATGAATACTGGCAGTCTGGAGGCATCCATAGAGCAGCAATTCACCTGAAATGTGGGGGAAAGTGTATTGTGTAGGCAGTCTGCATATGTTGCATGGTTAGTACAGCAGAGGATGGCCTTAAAATTCTAAGTCACGCTTCCAAAATAACAAGTTAACGTTAAAGAATAGTAATTTATTTAGAAGTATTTTAAAATAAGCTTTCAGTTTCTAAAACTTGAAGACTATTTTAAATTTTAGGAGCTTGAGGTACATAAAAAAACACTAAGATGGCAAGACCTGTGATTTCATAACTAGAATGTTGGCAGGCCTGAGAAAATTCACTATTGATCTAACTTCTTTGGACAAAAAAAGAAAGAAAGTCAGTCCTCATTACATGTATTCCCCAGAGTCCTTTCTGCCATATATTGGAAGAAGGGAACACTCTGTTCTTCTTTCATGCCCCGAAACCTCCTCCAAGGAATCTCTTGTCAAAATGACTTCTACTAGTTGCCCAAAGGACTGTATTCAGGCTTGTTAACCTCATTCTCCAATCCACATTATCAAACCTACAATCTTCATAATATTTCTACCTCTTTTTCATGCAATACGTAGCTCCATGACTCACTATCTAAGATTCCCAGTTCAGGATAGGATGCAGTCATTATTTTGGCATCATTCTCTACTGTTGTGTGTGTTTCTCCAACAGTTCTGTATACTGAAATGCAGCAATCATTTCCCATCTGTTCTTCCACTGTCTTTCTGGATTACAATAAGAAGGTACAGGACACTGGAGCATCTCTGCTTCTGATGGGTAGTTCAGGTTAATACAGGGCTGATAGGGGGAAGAATTACCGTAATGTGTTTCAGCAACAAGGACTACCAGAGGAACTACCAGAGCCATCTTCCCCCATTGATCCCATAGCATGGAGCACACCACCAACAAAGGAGTCTGGGTTGGCATCATTCCTCCCATGGAAGAGAAGAACACTTTCATCTCCTCCCTCTAGGAGGAAGATGCAGCAGAAATGCACAGATAGATGCTCTTTTACCAGCCTCACAGGTGAAAAAAGTGAAGTGATTCACTTCTTCTGTGTGGCCACAATCAACCACTCTTTGTATCTGGAAGACCTACATTCAAGTGCGTGGATCCAATCGTTTGGTTTTATGAAGCATAAAGTGATGGGGGGAGGGGCACGTGACTTGAAATGGGGTAAATGAAGAATGTGGAGGCGTCAAACACCTTGGAAGAGCACTGATCATAAATGATAGGTTTCATAATCCTGTAAAGACGTAAGAGAGACTGAACAACAAGATTTGGGGAGAAAAGTCTTAGGGAGCAAAGTCCCCTGGCTGGGGAGGCGGGTGGAGTTCCAGTGAAATAAATGGAGAAGACATTTATAAGAATCGGTTTCGGCATTGCAAGAGAAGCTTGGCTTCTGTAAGCAAGCAAACCTTGTACTTCTGATGAAATATCCAAAACCAGTTCTCAGAGGACCTGAGGCCTCCCGCTCATCCAGCCATGGAACAAGGGCAGCTTGTAAGGAATTCCGGCCCTTTTGTGAGTCTCTTTCTAATTCTATGCAGATTCCTAGGTTCAGATGAACAATGAAGCGGGATCAGTGGTTGAGAATATGCCTTGTATGCAGAGGGTCCAATGTTCAACCACTGGCATCTCCAGCCATTGAAGATTTATGACAGCGACTACAAAATGCCAGGCAAGATAAACAAGGAATTGTGATCCGATATAAGCTCCCTATGTAATTAATGGCTAGGGGTGGGGGAACGGAATTGTCACATGCAAAATGTACCTTTCCCCATTATTCAGGCTGATTGCTAATGGAGTAGCAGGATTCACAGAAGGATAATCCCCTTTTCTAGTTGGTAGGTCTATCCCCCTCGAGAAACAGAGACAATCTAGGATTCCTACGTTGTAAAACTTGGGGAGTGGAGGCAACTAACCACCTTTTTCTCATTTTCATTATTTTATTAATTTAAAAAGTATGTACACACACATAATCAAATACACCCACACATGCAGTGGCTCAGGGATACAAATACTAATTAAAGCAACTACAAAAATTTTCAGCCTTATCCAAAGGATCCCCGTACAGCTGTTTTGTCAGACAGAACGAAAGGATCATGTTATAAAAATCAAAGATGACTGATATCTAATAGCTGAGAATGAAGTGCGGAGGGAAAAGATTTGCCAACTGTATCTACTAAAATAGCGAAACATGGGCACAGGAGGCAGGAAAAAACCTTTCACGCTTTCTGAGGTGTGGAAGCAATTTAGCACCAAGGACAGTTGCGCTTAACCCAGCTAAATAGTGTGAAGGCACCAGGATAGAAGACTGTGGCTTCCGCCTCCTCCGCCCTGCAGCTATCTTAGCAGGATTCTTCTATGCCAGGGCAGATGTTGTTACTATGGTCAGAGCATCCACAAGTGATAAAAAGAGCAGTTTTCCTGATCCTATCCCCCAAAGGTACAAGAACCAGTTGCATCTGTAGGAGATGGAACTTTGATTTCTGCCTCTAATAGTTTACAGCAGGCATCAGCAAACTCGGCCCTCCAGATGTTTTGGGACTACAACTCCCATCATCCCTAGCTAACAGGACCAGTGGTCAGGGATGATGGGAATTGTAGTCCCAAAACATCTGGAGGGCCGAGTTTGCCTTTGCTTGGTTTACAGCCTTGGCTAAGCAGTTCCAACAAAGGGAGCTAATCAAAAAGCTCAATGACATCAAACAACCTACCCTATTTAATAAATCAGGCAGGCGAAGCCTTCTGAGAGGAAGAGGAAAGGGGCCCATATTACAAGTTTACACCAGATGTGCCCAGACAAATGATGCTTGGGTACCAGTTCTTCTTGGGATGCTTGAACATTGAACTTTGCTTTATACGGGTGTAGCATGAGCTACTGCTGCTGATGGCAAAGTTCACTCCATCCACTGAACAGAAGGGTGCCAGGTTCAACAAAGTATCCTCTCTGCTCCTGTTTTGCTTGTGCTCTGTTTGTGGTGGTAGTGTTTTTAATTTGTGTCACTGGAAATAGGAGCAATTAACATTCTGAGGTGGTGTTTACGGGTTCGTTAAATCAAACAAACATCCCAAGCAATTAGAGGAAAGGGGAGGCAGGTGAATTCCCAACGGCTGGGGAAGCAGGTAGCTTGGCGGACGGGTTCGGAATGTGCAGTTGGATCTATGTTCCCGACACCTGGCAGCAACCACAAGATGAAAGGAAGTTCCACCCTTTCAGCACAAACATAAGCAACACGTGCCACGCCTTTCCTCCCCCCCTGCCTGCAAAAGCCACCCTGGATTGACTGGGATTGAGAAGTCAATGAGAAAGATGGGAGGGAAATGGTTGAAGGAAAGAGTATGTGCTATAAGACCTTGAGGAGAAGAAATGAAGGAAGATGAGCAAGAGCAAAAGGCAAAACGGTACAGACAATGACAAAGAGAAAGTACCAGAGGGGTGATGCAGGAGGGATGCACACAGACAAGCGATACTGAAGCAGGAAATTGGAGACAAACCTGTCCAAGCTTGATACAAGGGCATTTTTCCCTAGCAAACCATGCAGCTTTGCGGCGATTCCTACACACCAGCTGTGTTAGTCCCAGGACTGCCATGGTCCCAGGCACCTCCACATCTGCATTTCCCCCGGACCAGCACGGCTTTCCCTTACAGCGTGGCTGGCGGCAGCATGTCTCTGTGGAATTAGTCCTGTCAGGGAAGATATTGATTTGGATGCTGATGTGTTAATACGTGGCTGCTTTCAGCAAAGCTTCCTTCCTTCCTCCATCCCAGACAATAGACTGGAGGACTAACCTGCCACTAATCACACAGGAGGTGTGTCTATGGCCAGACGTGATATGCAAGGGGATGAGGCAGCCTGCAGAGAACACGGAGCATCTATTGTGCTCCTTACATGTTCTAAGCCTATCCCAAGATGCTTTTAAAACCACAGCATTGGTAACTACGGATATGAACATTCTTTATGTGCACAGAGCTATCAACTCAGACACGGCCTCAAAATATTTGCATGTTAACTGAGAAGTCAGAGCAAAGATGCAGAATAAAATACTGATTACAGTATTGCTTTTTTGTGGGCTCAGAAAAGTTCTTTGGTTTCTTGTCCAGCCTATCAGAAATTTGTTTTTGACCTATGTTACAGTCATAGCATGTGTTGTCGACAAGATATAATAGAAAAGCAAATTATTTACTTATTTTTTAAAAGTTATTTGTTTTTGACCTTTGTGGGGATATATTATTTGTCTTCTATCAGACTAGCAACTTGCCAAGTTGTCCATGGACAGAATCTCAAGGTACGTAGTGCTGGAATTGAAGAAACTTGGTTTAGGTCTTTAAGCATAACTGTCTGACTGCTAAAATGTTGAAAAATATACAGGGCGCAATATATGCCCCCCAAAGTACAGAGAGAGAGAGAGAGAGAGAGAGAGAGAGAGAGAGAGAGAGAGAGACCCCAAATACTTCTCTTGAGGGTTCTAGCTGGCTTCAAGTGTATTGAAATGAGTCCATGTTTACATTCTGAGCATGTTTGACTGAATCAAGCCTTCTGAATTCCATGGGAAGGGAGAGAACAGTGGAGCATGAGTAAGAATGTAGTTGGAAATGTCAGTTAGGACACAGCTAGCTCCTGCTCAGGTTCCAGCACAAAGAAAAGCCCGAGGTCACTTCTGACAGAGAAACTGCCAGGGGGGAGCAAAGCACTGTACATGTTCCATTACCAGCTGCCCCAGGGCCACATTACAGGTAAGCGGAAGCTGTGAGCAAGTGCAACTAATGCTGGATAAAGCTAAGAAGCACAGGGGTCTGGAGGGAAGGCCTTTCCCCCAGGAAAATGGTTCAAGAGTTGTTCTTGGTTTTTGGCAAGAGATCCATCAGTGGGTGCCTGTAAACTGGGGAGGTACAGAGAGGGACAGGATGTGTGAAATGAGAGAGTTCTTTTGCATTATCTCTCAGCATTCACACAGGGTTCGCCTGCATGCTTTTCTTCGACACTCTCCTCCAAGAAAAGGGGGGGGGGAAGAACCCTGAACCAGCAGATTCCAGAAAAGTGCAGCTCTTCACTTTGCATTGGTATGCAAGGATATTAGAACAAGTACAAGTCTCTCTCATGCGGCTATAACTTTCTTGGGCTAACCTTCCACACAAAGTCCTCCCACCACTGCAAAGTGCTTTGAAGCAGAGGTAGCACAAAGGGAATAGGTGTGCTTAACTCTTCCCTTGATAGTGACCCTCCTCCAAGTGACTTTTCTTCTGCTGTTGTTGTTGTAGGCCCATGTTTACTTCACAAATGCTGGTCTGGAACTATACAGTGCTAAAAGCAGCCGGGATGGATTATCTGGGTAATTCTCCTTTTCTCTGTATCTTCTGTAAACCTCTTATAGATTGAAAATATGTTTCTTTAAGCAGTAACCACAGTAGAAGAAAACAGCATAGATAGGTCGTGTAGTTTGCAGATGACATCAAGTATTTAGAATCGTGTGTATACCTAAGTGGACTGAAGAGAAAAAGATCTCTTCAGACTGGGTGAATGAGCAACAAAATTATACATGGAATTTGTCAGGGGGGGAAACCAAACTAGGTGCAACTTTAATTGTATGGATGCAGTTAACACACACATTTTTGTTTCCCTGTCACAAACTTGACAAAATTGGCTTTCCAAAGCTGCCATTTGCATTTCAAGCAGCAATGTTCCCTAGGGAGGCTTGCCCTTGAAATGCTTCTCTGAAGCTGCTTTTTGTGGCTTTAGTTCAGAATGTGGCAGGAAAAGAATAAGTTCTCTACCCTCCTGTATGGTCCTGAAGCTGCTCTGAGGCCCCTGCGGCTGCTATTTATGTAATTAACACATGTGTGCTAATTGCATTCTCAAAATGGCATATTTAGTTTGACCCCCAGCATAAAGTGACCAAGACTGAGGCAAAAGCAAAAAAGAAAATGGGCTAATCAGGAAAGGGACACTGGTGGCAGCACCATCACATTGACTCCAGAGGTCATATTCAGTGTAGAGCTACATAGCTGTCAACTTTCAGATTTGAAAATAAAGGATCAGCAGCCTCGAAAATAAGGGATCAGCAGCCTCACCTGTCCTGGGGACAGTCTACAGAATATCTAACAATCCGGGATAGCAGCGGGAAACGGCGCTGGAATAAGGGAATTTCCCGCAAAGAAAGGGAAGGTTGACAGCTATGTAGAGCTATATCCTTGCACAAGAGGAATAACTTTCCTCCTCTCCCAGCTCATGCCCTAAATCTGTCCTCTGGGTTCCCTCAACCCTCCAGAGCAGATTTGGGAATGGTACGGGGCGTATGCAGGGAGAAGAGAAGAGGGCAGTCCTGCTGTGCAAGCAGAAGTCATTCTGCTCACCCAACTGTTTAGTTCAGTAATACCACCCATATCTAGCATTGGGAGGGAGGGCACATGTTAGAGTATATTAGGAGGAAAATACAAAGGCAATTATTCAGGACAGACAAAGGGAAACATTTCTTCACACATAGATAAAACCATGGAATTCAAGCCATAGGATGCAGAGATGGCCACCAACATGGTTTGAAAAGGGTGTTTGACGTATTCATGGAGAAGGCTATCGATGGCCATGCATTGCCTCCAGTATCCCAGTGACCTACTGAAAAGTGCCCCAGGCTCACTTTATCATATAGCTTCGTGTCGCCATATTTCTCACTGGGATTTATGTGTCAGTCTGATTATGCGCCCTCCCCTTAATTTGTCTTCACAGATCCTATTTTGATCATCGAAGCCGTATTTGCTCTACAGAAATGAATGAACAATCACCCCAGCAGAAGGAGCTAATGATACACAGGATGCTTACAGCAAGGATAATTAGGCATGTTGCTAACTTGTTCGGAATAAACATGTGTGCGGCAGAGCAAGCCACACACACGAAAATGGGAACAGGAAGTGGATGAGCATAAGGCCAGAGCAGAAAGAAAGTGGCAGACATTTAGAAGCAGATATGTTAAATTGTAGTCATAATGGAAGGAAATGTCTTAAAGCCTACTTGACCAGTACTGGATCAATCCTGCATTTGGATGAAAGTCTGCCCAAAGGGGCATCAGGAACATAATTTCAAAAAGCAGCAGAGAAGGCAAAATTTGTCTCTATTCAAGGTTTCTCTTGGCAGAGGAGAAAGCTGTGTTTCTCTCCAAATCTGTCTATACTAGCATAACTCAGCAAGATAGGAGCCCTTTTCCTAGAGTCTTGGATTGGGTATGGGGAACCTTTGGCCCTTTGGTTGTTGCTAAACTACTGACCATTGCTGATCATTGTTCCTGATCTAGAAGGTTATTCCAATAGATTCCAAAGAATGCACGGGAGGAGTCACATCATGGCTCCACCCCAAACCATGCGAATGAAGAAGATTACAACAAAGAAGAATAAGCCTCTGTCTTTGTGTTGGGGGACACCTGAAAGCACAGGGATCTTGGTCATGCATAAAAGCCCTCTGCACATATAACGGTGCATGCAGGCCTCTGTGTAGTGATAGAAAACATATGTAAGTCAGGAATGGAGGCTGGCATGCAGTTAACCCGCCCCCGCCCACCATGCACATTCTAGGAGTAAGGACATTGTGATGTCCTCTGGCTATTTTGGACTACATCTCACATCATTCCTAACCATTGATCATGCTGGCTTGGGCCAATGGAAGTTGTAGTTCACAGAATCTGGAAGACACCACATTAGCTGCTGCTATTCTGCTAGACTGAAGATCTGAATATAGTGACTGTGACTGCAGCCTCCTTAATAATTAAATTAGCATCCATTCAATGGAAAATGTTTCCTATGAAAATTGTAAAAAGTAGAGACAGAATAATCTGTGACAGACACAATTCTTCACTTTTTATTCTGATTCTAGAATACTGAGGAGTTTCTATTTGAACTCCTGTTCAGTTGTCATATGTTCCATGCATCCACACAATTTGATGTTCCAAAGAACTGTAACTCACATCAGCAATACTGTGGACACCACTCCTTTCTTGGTGTTCTCGCTCTTTGTATATGATCTGTGCCCAGTCACTACATTTAAAAGATAGGGTAGTTATCCAGTGCGAATTGCTGACATTGATAGGCATGCAGGTACAGGTACAATGGACAGTACCACTGAGTCAAAATATAGTATCAGAGGCCATAGCCAACATTTCAGTCTGTTACAATTTCTTGTCATAAATTTGGCAATATATGTTTCTGAGCGGTGAGTAGGTTTTTTAGGTTATCCAGCTGTCTATGTGCCAGCAAAGGTCAGCTCCTTGTGACTTCTTTGCTCTCCCCAGCAGATCACTCTTGACAACAGTTTGTAGTTCCATTGTGATGCATTACAACACCCTAAACTGTGAGCTGTAGGCAAAAAGCAGTGGTGTTCTATCTTGTCGCTTGTGTTATTTCTGTTGAAGCAGTTATATTCTGGGAACTGACCTGGCCCTTGAAATCTGGTACTCAACCGTGTTGCCATGGTATTTAAGAAAGCGGAGATCAAATTGCTCAATTTGTTGTCGCTTACTAGTTTGTATAGTGATCTGAATCTATTAAAAGGCATCATTCTGGAGCAGATGCATTGAAATCCATTCAAATCTCATTCTGCCTTCCACCATTCTCTCACAAATTTAGAAGGGGTCAATATATAAAAATTGGTTTGATTTGCACTCATTTCTGTAAATTACCATGTTTATGCAGCTATATAAATGCCAATTCCCACCAAGAATTTAATTTAGTATGTATGTATGCATGCATGCATGCATGCATGTATGTATGTATTAAATTTCTATCTCGTCCTTGCTGCCAAGAGAGCCCATGGCAGCAAGCACCAAAGCAACAAAACAACACAATTAAAAGTAAAATAAAAAACATACTTAAAACATTTAAAAACAACAGGAACATCCGAAAACTTTTAAGAACATCTAAAAAGATGTAAAATGTTAGGATAGTTAAAAGCATAGCTAATAATTTAATTTGAACGTTGCCAAGAATAGCATCTTTTAACCAACAAATGCCTGGCTTAACAGGAATGTTTGAGAACTCCTCCTAAGGAAGATCAACACAGCTCACCAGGGTAGCATTCCACAAGTGGAGAACCACCACCAAGAAGGCCCTGTCACAGGTCAGTGCCCAACAGATAGCAGCGGCAGTGGCAACACCCAGTAATATGAGATTGGTAAAGTGGGGGAGAGGGAACCTACAAAAGGAGAGAGAGATCATGACAATGAAAGTTCAGTTATTCTGCTCGAACTAGAAAGCAACCATCTCAAGCAGATGGCTGTGGTCAGTCCCCCTGGGCTACAGTAGGCCTTCCCAAGCTGAGCTCCAGGGAGACGCTCCGGGGAGAACTGCTTCTATTTCAGCTCCTTTGCTCCTGCTCCAGTGCCTGGCTCAGAAAAAGAACTACTATAGCACCTGTCCTTGAAGGATGTTCTGTGAAGCCCATTTCAGGGAGAGACACAAGTGTTCTGCTGTCCCTTCCTAGCCAGAGAAGAGGGGTAGTAAGTGGAAACTGTTCGGCTCCTGCAGTGACTGCTTCTCTGGCCCTGAGAAGTTGTACAATGCAGGAACTTATTTATTCCGCTTCCGCTTCACTATGTTTGTGTGGGGAAGTTTGGGACTGTGGAAACTGGGATCAGGGTACTTCAAACTCCAAATCTCCCCCCAATCCCAGATACCATAAGATTCGGCAGGCTTCCTCACTGCTAAGACTTAGGGTCCTGCTGAATACTTTTCTTGTGCCAACAGGCCTATTGAATTGATTTCCAACTCCCTCAACCATTCCTCATAAGGATTGGATTTCAGGCCCTTGATCATCTTGTTCACATTCCAGATTGTCAATATCCTTCTTAATTGTGGCACCCAGAACTGGATACAGTACCCCAGGTGTGGTCTGACCAAGGCAGTATGAGTGGTACTATTCTTCCTTTCATTAGGACGCTATACTGTTGTTGATGTGGCCTAGAATAGCATTAGCTTTTTTGCAGTAGGGGAGACCTAAATCAAGTGATGGGGCCCAAAAGGGTAGGTGATGGGCTTGAGTGCAACCATGCACAGGTTGTCAACTGGAGCTTTCTACCTACTAGGAGCTCAATTGGCTTGATCATATGTCAACCAAGGGAATTCCCACACCCTCATCTTTCCCATGCCTTTCCCCCAAGACACAAGCAGCAGCTGGAAGAGTGCTGATTAGGTTTAGGGGAGTGAAGTCTAAGGGTAGTTGGAGAGGACTGCAGAAAGGTTAAGTGTCCAGAGCAGCCAGACAGCTCAGAAGGCAAGGGACGTGAGTGGATGGAGGTACATTGACAAGAGATTATTTGGTCTGTTATGTGGTCTGACTTCCAAATTGGTTAGGAAGGAGCTATAAATATAAGCAAATAAATATTAATAAATAACAGGGCCATCAACAGACAATAGCAAATTTCTCTATTGGTTATTGCTTCAAATGAAGGGAAGCTAATCTTCCTTTATGGACGCTATAATGTGTATTAGTGCCCCTAGATTATCAGTTGATTAGAACAAATAGCATGGTGTAATGGTCTCAGGTTCCATTTGCATTGCCAATTTGCAAATTCAGACAATACAAAATGGGAGTGGAGGGGGATATTAGGTGAGCCAAACAGGACCTATAGTGACATTAACATTTCCATTACAAAATGGAAACTCTGGAACTGTTATGATAAAGGCTGTCTCTACTAAGTCCAATTTGTGTGCCAAGTCAGAGTTGGGAGCAGAATGCCTGACCAGATGGCCCTTTATTCTGCTCCTTTATTCTGATCCAGCAAGACAGCTCTTACATTCTTAGGATGCTACAGATATATAATAATAATAATAATAATAATAATAATAATAATAATAATAATTTATTATTTGTACCCCGCCCATCTGGCTGGGTTTCCCCAGCCACTCTGGGCGGCTTCCATAGAAACCAAAAATACAGTAAAATATCACAGATTAAAAACTTCCCTGAACAGGGCTGCCTTAAGATGTCTTCTAAATGTCAGGTAGTTATTTATCGCTTTGACATCTGATGGGAGGGCGTTCCACAGGGCGGGCGCCACTACCGAGAAGGCCCTCTGCCCGGTTTCCTGTAGCTTTGCTTCTTGCAATGAGGGAACCGCCAGAAGGCCCTCGGCGCTGGACCTCAGCGTCCGGGCAGAACGATGGGGGTGGAGACGCTCCTTCAGGTATACTGGGCCGAGGCCGTTTAGGGCTTTAAAGGTCAACACCAGCACTTTGAATTGTGCTCGGAAACGTACTGGGAGCCAATGTAGGTCTTTCAAGACCGGTGTTATGTGGTCTCGGCGGCCACCCCAGTCACCAGTCTAGCTGCTGCATTCTGGATTAGTTGTAGTTTCCGAGTCACCTTCAAAGGTAGCCCCACGTAGAGCACATTGCAGTACTCCAAGCGGGAGATAACTAGAGCATGCACCACTCTGGCGAGACAGTCCGTGGGCAGGTAGGGTCTCAGCCTGCGTACCAGGTGGAGTTGGTAGACAGCTGCCCTGGATACAGAATTGACCTGCGCCTCCATGGACAGCTGTGAGTCCAAAATGACTCCCAGGCTGCGCACCTGGTCCTTCAGGGGCACAGTTACCCTATTCAGGACCAGGGAGTCCTCCACACCAGCCCACCCCGTCCCCCAAAAACAATACTTCTGTCTTGTCAGGATTCAACTTCAATCCATTAGCCGCCATCCATCCTCCAACTGCCTCCAGGCACTCACACAGGACCTTCACCGCCTTCACTGGTTCTGATTTGAAAGAGAGGTAGAGCTGGGTATCATCTGCATATTGATGGACACCCAGTCCAAATCCCCTGATGATCTCTCCCAGCGGCTTCATATAGATGTTAAAAAGCATGGGGGAGAGGACAGAACCCTGAGGCACCCCACAAGTGAGGGCCCAGGGGTCTGAACACTCATCCCCCACCACCACTTTCTGAACACGGCCCAGGAGGAAGGAGCGAAACCACTGTATAACAGTGCCCCCAGCTCCCAGCCCCTCTAGACGGTCCAGAAGGATGTTATGGTCAATTGTATCAAAGGTCGCTGAGAGATCCAGCAGAACCAGGAAACAACTCTCACCTTTGTCCCTAGCTCGCCGGAGATCATCAACCAGCGCGACCAAAGCAGTTTCAGTCCCATGGTGAGGCCTGAATCCCGATTGGAAGGGATCTAAATGGTCCACATCCTCCAGGCGTGCCTGGAGTTGTTCAGCAACCACGCGCTCAATCACCTTGCCCAAGAATGGAAGATTTGAGACTGGGCGATAGTTGGCCATACTGGCCGGGTCTAAAGATGGTTTTGTAAGAAGCGGTTTAATGACCGCCTCTTTCAGCGGATCTGGAAATGTTCCCTCACAGAGGGAAGCATTCACCACTCCGCAGAGCCCATCGCCTAGCCCTTCCCGGCTTGCTTTTATTAGCCAGGATGGGCAAGGATCAAGGAGACAGGTGGTTGGTTTCACGCGTCCAAGCAGCCTGTTCACATCCTCGGGGGTAACGGATTGAAATTGATTCCATGCAACTTGACCAGACAGAGCTCTAGCACTCTCCCGCCCTGGCCCTGCTCCCACGGTGGTGTCTAGCTCCTTCCGAATATGAGTGATTTTATCTGCAAAAAACTTTGCAAAATCGTTGCAGGAGATCTTGGGGTCTTTACAAGGCCCCGGTGGTAAAGGTGGTTCCGTTAAATTGCGAACCACCTGAAAGAGTCTCCTCTTGACCATCCGGTCAAGGCCAAACCCAGAGGCAGGGATAGTCTTCAAACAACGATTTTCTGCAGATGCAATAGAGGCGGTGAAGAAAGTCTTCTTCGCCGTTGCTATCGCCACTTGGTAGGCTCGACGTTGAGCTCTAACCTGTGTCCGGTCAGATTCGGAGTGAGTTTTCTGCCACCGACGCTCTAGCCGTCTCAGCGATTGTTTCCATCGCCCTCAGCTCCGAAGAAAACCATGGGGCTGTCCGGGCTCCATGCAATCGGAGAGGGCGCTTCAGAGCCAGACAGTCGATAGCCCTGGTTAACTCCGCATTCCAGCGGGCCACCAGGGAATCAGCTAAAGCATCCCCTACCACTCTCTGGAAACCATTTGGATCCATTAAGTGGCGGGGGCGGACCATCTGAACTGGTCCCACCTCCCTGCAGAGGGGAAGGGTCGTGGAGAAGTCCAGTTGCACCAGGAAGAGATCTGACCATGGCACTTCTTTTGTTTCACTTTTACTTAGTGTCAGATCACCCACGTCACTAGAGGTGAACACCAGGTCTAAGGCATGTCCATGACTATGAGTTGGGCCAAACTTATTCAGGGACAGCCCCATGGAGGCCATGCTTTCCACGAAGTCCCGAGCGGCCCCTTGTAAGGTCGTGTCGGCATGGATGTTAAAATCCCCTAGGACAACCAAACTAGGTGTCTCCAGGAGAAAATCCGCCACGACCTGAAGCAGCTTGGACAGGGAATCCTTGATGCAGCGGGGAGGTCGGCAAACCAAAAGGAATCCTGTACTGCCCCTATTGCCCAACTTCCAGAACATGCACTCAGAGAACTGGATCTTCCCAGTAGGATGCCTGGTGCAAGCTAGAGACTTCCTAAAAATCACTGCAACCCCCCCTCCCCGCCCACATGACCTGGGTTGCTGTGTGTAAGAGAAACCTGGTGGGCAAGCAGCGGCAAGGACAGGCCCATCTGCTTCCTCCAACCAGGTCTCTGTCACACATGCCAGGTCAAATCCTCCATCCACAATCAAGTCGTGGATGGCAGTGGTTTTATTCATCACTGACCTGGCATTGCACAGCAACACTTTCAGGTCATGTGGGTTTCCCCTGTTGATTCCAGTATCCATCCGGTCAAGGCCAAACCCAGAGGCAGGGATAGTCTTCAAACAACGACTAAACCTGCCTCCTTGGTAATGACATGATATATAGCGACATTCAGGAAAAGTATGCGGTGCAATCCTCTTAGGGCAATACATTTGTCCTCCCACAAGCATCAGTGCCGGAAAGGTGATACCCATTACATTCATAGTGCAGCTTTTGATAGTGGTTCAGATCAACTAGGATATTTTCCACAGTAGGGGGAAAGATTCACTTGGGGGAAAAATGTGACAGGGTCCTGAAACTAAATCCTGATAAGTTAGAGGCCTTGTGGGTGAATCGTTTACTGCTTGAGATCCCAGAATTGTAGAGTTGGAAGGGACCCCGAGGGTTATCTCATCCAACCTCCTGCAATGTGTATGTCAGTTACCTGTTGTGGACAGGGTTGCGCTCCCTCTGAAGAAACAGGCACCTAGCTTGGGAGTACTCCTGGATCCATCATTGTCACTGGAGACTCAAATGGCCTTAGTGGTTAGGAGTTCTTTTTACCAGCTTCAGCATTAGCTGCAGCCATTCCTGGACTCGGATACCAAGGCTAAAGGGGGCCATGCACTGATAACCTTACAAATGGATTATTGCAATACACTTTATGTGGATTTTAATGCGATGACAGCCACAAGTATAGACGGATGAAACTCTTGTGTAGAGTTCAAAGGCCATAGTGGTGGTCAACTAAGTTCTGCTTAGTAGGTTCACAATTACGTAACCATCTGGCATGATAGTAAGGCATGGGGTGAGATCTCCAAACCAAATGAGGTGGTGCAGAATAAAAAGACTAGAAGATGAAGGCCAGGGTAACAAAACAAATTAGCAATGGTCTTCTGAATGCTCACGCTGTAAGAATAAGAAGGGTCTGCTGGATCAGGCTAGTGGTCCATCAGTCTGTTCTCACATTGACCAAGTAAATGCCCTTAGGAAGCCCAGAAGCAAGATCTGAACACAACAGCATGCACCCCTCTTGCAGTTTCCAGCAACAGGTATTGAGAAGCATGCTGAGGCAGAATGTATCCATCAGGGTTAGCAGCCATTGATAGCCTTATCCTCCACTAATTTGTCTAATCCAAGTTGGTGTCCCTCTTGTGGGAATTAATACCATAGTTCAGCTATGCACTGTGTGAATTAACAAAGCAGCCTTTGCCAACCAAGTGCTCTGCAGACATTTTGGGCTACAACTCCCATCAGCCCTAACCACCGTAGCGAAGGCTAGAGTAAAAGGCAGGCATAGGCAAACTTTGTCCTCCAGATGTTTTGGGACTACAATTCCCATCATCCCTGGCCACTGGTCCTGTTAGCTAGGGATCATGGGAGTTGTAGTCCCAAAACATCTGGAGGGCCAAGTTTGCCTATGCCTGATTTATGATGAGAAGAAGAAGCCAGTGCCACTATTACCAGTGCCATATTTCTTAGCTTCCTGTGAGAATCTGCCTGGCTACTGTTGTTGGGGAACAGAAATACAGGGCTAGATGGCCCTTTCTTCTTATTCGGCAGGACAGTTCTCATACATTCTGGGGTGTGTGCTACAAATTATAATATGATGTTTAGAAAAAAACATGTGGTATGGTCCTCCTTCAACATGTAAGACTTCAACATGTAAGAATGTAAGAGCACATTACCAGCTGCTCAAAACAAAATGCTAGGATGACACAGTAAGTTCTAAGATGAGCATGAACCAATTCCACCAGAGTATCCATATCCAAATATTCCAAGAGTGGCTTCAAAGTATGCACTGAGCATGATCAGCCAACAATCTCATCAGAGGGTCACTTTTGTGCAGCATTAGTGCAGGCACAGGTATACCGCTGGTATAGGGCAGTATACAAATTTACTACTACTACTACTAATAATAATAATAATAATAATGGTAGAAATTATTATGAAAAGGACTGGAAAATTAAACAACCAGCCTCATAATCTTCATTTAGAGCAACACATGCAGTTCTGGACAATGTTCACCTCCTTTTTCATAATAAACAAAGATGCAGAAACACTGGAAGGGGTCTTTTATTAATAGTAATAAAAAAGAATGTAAAATGAAACAGACAGGGCTTCTTAGCTTAGGAGAAAAATGAAGACCGAGAGAGGACAAGGGGTAGGTTTTAGAGAAACATGATTGGTGTGAAGAGAGTAAATAAAGGGCAACAATCTCAAAATAAAAAAGGTCCAAGGCCGTCCACAGCAGATGTAAGACAAACAAAAGAAATTACTCTCTCACACAACATATAATTAACCTATGGAACTCATTTTCACAGGACATTATTGCCTTCAGCAGATAAAATAAGCGCACGGAGGATAGGTCAATTGATGGCTATAGCAAGCCATAATATCCAAATTGCAACTTCCATGTTCAGAGACATCACTTCTCTGGCTATCAGATGCTGAGGATTAATGACAGTGGGTGGGTATTGCCATCACGCTGTGCTTGTCAACCATCATGCTGTGCTTATATCTGCCACTGTCAGCCAAGAGAATGCTGGCCTAGAACACTGGCCTGTGGCAGCATAGCAAGCCCTCATCCTTGACCAGCCTAGCCACCCTAGAGATGACCATTTCAGACTTGCTTGGGAGGCGCAGTCTCTGATAGTTATGGTGTTGCCCACAGACAAAGTGATGTATTTCCTCCAGTTGGAGGGCGTAAATCCATGTAGCTTGAAACACAGAAAACAAAAACCCACAGGCTCCGTGGAAGGTTTGCAGGTGTAATCACCTCCATCGTTTTAGTATCAAGCAGAACGAAGATGGGCTGTTCAAAGAAACTGGCCACAAGAGAAACAAAGGCAGAAGAAAAAAGACAGGCCAGATAAAAGGGCTAAGTATGCACAAGGTCCACAGCAGGGATTAGCAACCTGGAAACATGAATCACACAAGAGAGGAAAAACAATCGGAAGCAGAACAGATGGGTGTGCAAAAGGAAATGAAGAGCTGCAGGAGACAGTGCTATTAACTTTATTCAAGAAGAACAAAACCTTTATTGCACCAAAGACAGTTAAATCAATATTTTCCCAATGCTATTTTTCCACAGAAGCAAATGGGTGTGTTTTCCCACAGGGATGCTGCATTACCATGAACAGGAAGGATGGGTTGTCTACGTAATGGCAAGAAAGGGGAGAGATGCTGTCTATGAGGCAGAGTCTAACAATGTGGAAATTGCTTTGTAAATTGTAAGTAGAAAGCTCTAGGGCAGGGAAGAGTACCAGTAACTCAGCTGCAGCACCTATCTTCATGAAAAAGTAAGTGATGCTGCATAGGACAAAGCCTTGCGGCATCAGGTTCCTCACAGGACAGGACATCACTGGGCAAGACAGGACATCATCCACTCTCACATAGTGACATGAGGATATCACATTTTGGCTTTCATTTGGTTTGGGCAGAAGCACATGGAATTGCAGATCCATAGTAGAACTGACTCATACGTCCCATGCACATGCATCATCACTGAACACCTCTTACCACAAAGAGTCTGCTATTACTCTGGCCTGGGTTATTCAAAAAATCTCTGTCCATGAGAACAAGATTGATGACATCAGTCAATGATTTTCAAAGAAATAAAATAAACGTGTATAGCACCATATACACACCACAGGATTATTTTGCTGCAACAACACAAAATAAATAAACAACAACAATTTGTACCCAAGAATACTAAGTAGAACTTAGTTGGATACAACCCAATAAAGAGAATTATCATAATCTATCAAAATCAGATTCCCTTTGTTCAGCAAAAACCATGAACCATCTGTGGCCCAGAGACTCAGGAACCAATCCTACAAATGCAGTAACTCTTACTCCCTCCCTGCTTTCTCATTGAATTTTCTTTTTTAAGCTTCCTTTGCACTCAAAGCTCTACCTTTTGCCCATCTCTTCCCCATGAGATCCAGCCAGGACAGCACTTGTCTGGTAATAAGCTATATCCAGTAATTAATGTTTTCACAAATTACTGAGAAGCGAAATTGTGGGCTTTTTTCCCCCTACACAAAAGACTCTCGGTGAAAACATGTGTGACCTTGCATCTAGGAATTCAAAACAGTTATGCAAATGTTGTCTAAATTAAAACGCAGAATCCCCATGCGAAGTATTAGCTCAGAGTCATAGAAAGAGAGATTGGCATGCAGGGAGAAACATGCTCAGCAGAAATCCAGCAGGAGAAAAGTAGAACCAGAATGTGGATCTTTGGGTTGCCAGACATGGGAAAGAAAAGCTCAACCACCTTTCTGACTGGATTTTCACTTTTTGAAATATGGCAACCCTAACCTAGATGTCTCAATACTAATGGCTAACAAAATGGTGGGCATAGCTCAGTAATCTCTGTTGATCTGAGTTAAAGCACAGTGTGAAAACAGGACCAATACTAATACCATTTTCCACTCAAGTACAAGTATCACAAAGTGCAAGAACTCCCTCGCCATCTTCACAGTATTAGGCACTGCATTTCTTATTCGCGTGCATTTTAGTCATTTGGGAATTATCAAACCTATCAGCAATGAGTTCCAAAGTTCAGCCGTCCACTTCAAGATCTTCACACACAGCAGCAGTGGCATAGGGCCTACTTCCCCATGAAGCAGTTCCATGCGTCTGATTCTGCACACGGGGAGAGCCTATCACATCACACGAGTCTTTCCCACCTGACTGGTACCTAGACAGGAGGGGAAGTCCATGGGAAAGGGCCCTGACCATGGGGTTGCATCATCCACATGGAGTTAAACAGGCCATGGGATTGCATCAGAGAAAAGGGGCTCTCGCACCACTATGCGTGAAGCAAGGGGGGGAATACTTTCTGTAGACCTGCAGCAAATTTCTGTATATTACAGTTTCATTGCTCTAGAATTATGTGAAACTGTTTCCTTCTCCCTTGGTCCAAAACTGCACATTATTTTAAACACAGCAATCATTTTCAGATTATAAAATGGAGCTCCATGGGGAGATCCAAAGACCTTAAAAGGGAAGGTATGAAATGAATACCTTCCCAACCTCTACTAGTGTGTGGCAGCAATGTGAGAGTCGGGGTGCTATGGTGGTTAGAGTCCTGGACTAGGACCTGGGAGACCAGGGTTCCAATCTCCACTCTGCCATGAAGCTCGCTGGGTGACCTTGGGCCAGTTATTCACTCTCAGCGTAACCTACTTCACAGGGTTGTTGTGATGATAAAATGAGGAAGAGAACTATGTGTGCAACCTTGAACTCCTTGGAGGAAACTACGGATGTAAATGTAATGTGACTTAATTCTTAATAGATATGCATAAGATTAGTCTGCCTATCTCAGCTGGGCCAGAAGCTTTTCCAAACGAATTTGGATTCCTGTGTAAACCCACCCACCTGATGCCACTGACCCATATGCTCCTTTCCTTTTAGCAAACCATGTTTTCGTTTCACCCCAGGCCTCCTTCACATGTGCACAATTGCATAGAGGTTGCTCTGCTGCATTGCTATCCAGTACAACTACAGCTTGTGTATGAATACTATAATCACATGAGAAAGGGCTAGTGGTCAGGTGAGGAAGACCCAGACAGTTATTACAGTCCCATCAGGCATGGTGGTGATTGAGAAGTAAAGGCCCATGGAATTGGCCCCAATCGTGTTGCTTGGGAAAACACACATTCCATAGCAAAATGAGTCAATAACATGTAGAAATGTTTCAGTGTGATTAGGTACAGGCATACCATTCAACATGGAAGAGTACATTTCCCATGTTTGTTGTTTTTTACTTGTGTGAACACTGTTGACTAGTGTGATTCTGAATCTTCCATTTTTTTTAGTATTGTAACTTTCTAACATCTGTTGCTCTGTTTCTCATCCTAACTGGATGTTAACTCAGGAAATTGTTGTTGTTTAGTTGTGTCCGACTCTTCGTGACCCCATGGACCAGAGCATGCCAGGCACTAACTCAGGAAATAGTTCTCATCTTTATCCAACATTTCTATAAGGAAAAACACAAAGCAAAACACCCTTCTTGCATAGGAGGCTGCTTACGTTCTATTGCCTTTCAAGTACCTTGTCAAGTTCCTCAGTGTGGTTTCTGACACATCTTGTAGCACATGAAGCTTTCAGGTCATGGGGAATGTGGCCTATCATCAGACATCCCTGAAAGTCACTCCCTTTAGGTATTAACAACTGTTTTCATGCTCTGACAAATGTGGTCTCAGGCTGCTTCATCCATTTGCTGATTGCTGCCTGTGGAAACCCATTCCACAGCGAGTGAGTTAGGCCCCATTCTGGCATGGTTCTCTGTAGCCTCATGGGCCCCACCAAAATTGTTCTTGAGTAGTTGGTCTGCACAGTGCAGCAGTAAGATATACAAGCACTGAATCATATGACACTTTCTAGTTGTGCTATTCCTTTCCACACTAACGCCATGCCTTCATTGGAGCCCTTGGTGCAGACATGGGATGTAACCAGGTGAGGAAGTAATTCACATGACCCATATGCTGTGACTCTTGCAGATTACAGGCAAGACAACATGGAGTAGTTTTTTCTGGTAGCAACCACTGGTGTGAACCAAATCCTTTCCCTTTGCATTAAACCCCCTTCTACCAGAACTCAGTCACTTGGTACCATTGCAAAGAGCAGTCATGACCCTTACTTCTGATTGCTCACTTTCACGGGGAGTTCCAAATAGATGGCAGTCCTGAAAACTAGGCCTCTATGGGAGTCAGGCATGGGCAAGTTCTATATACAATGCAATGTCCTTTTTTTGAAAAACTTTGCACCCTGAAGGTATATGAACCCATTCAAAATGGGATGTCAAAAACTCTCAGTTGACACACAGCAGCAAGAAGGAGCCTGCAGGTTATAAACTCAAAGATCATGGGAGAAGCTGAGCCCTTTGATAATGTATGCCTCTGTGGTGTGGGACAAAACAAAGCTCAGGAGTTGTGCATAAAATCACGCCATGGGGCAGGAAGAGACTACCCAGGCTGCAAACATCTTCTCAGTGTGAGCCACTTGGAACCTGCAGTTTATATGCTCCCTGTGTGACTGAGAAAGTCAATCATTTATAGATACACATATTGAGAATAGAACAAGCAGAGGTTTTGGACCATCCACACCCTTCAGCACAGTGAAAGGCAAAGCACTCAACGCAGCCTCTGACCAGCAGAGCCGTGCCCCCCACAGCATGTGATAACTGTTTTACAAACGAATCACAGAAAGAGAGGATCAAAGGTCTTAGTATTTTACACACCTAATGTGAAAAAGATAGGCACAGCATAAAAGAGCTGCAGACAAGGGGGTGTATTCTGAATTCATATAATCTGTGGACATTGCCTTTGCAACAGTCGCATCATCTTGCCCTCACACAGGAAGACAGCCTCAGGTTATACATATTACCTAAATGTTGACTGAAGAAGTGGCTGGGAGAATTCTAAGTTCTGAAAACCTTTCCAACATGGAAATACAATCTCCATTTGAAAAACTGCTTTCTTTTGCTCAGCTTAAGAGAGAAAGCCCTACACCATATATCTTCTCTAGAAACAGCTCGAAATCATGACTATGGGTGTGGTTATGGACAGATGTGCTGGCATAGCCATGTTTTCAAGGTGTTTCTTAGGAAGGCCTTATTTCCCTTATGAAATATGCTTTAAAAACTCTTATGTCAGAACTCTGTAACTCAATACAATTCAATACAAATTCAAAGAACCACAAACGCCCCTTTAGTTCTGACATGTGGCTATGAATGCTGATGGGAAAGTTGTACCGACAAGGAAAGGATGACATCTTCCACTAACCATCTTGGTTCCCTTTTACTTTATGGAAGAACTGCTTTCAATTAAACCTCTTGGGAAGCTCATCTATGCAATGGGGGATGGGTTACATTAAGTGATTTATGAAAAATCCATTTCTATAATAACCAAGGAGTTCAGAAATTGGAGGGGAGGGGGGAGGGGAGGGAGAGAGGAGGAAGAGAACTGAGACTGAGTATTTCCATGCAGATGCTTGATTTATAAGAAATCTTCAAAGACAATAGTCATGAATGGAACGTAAGATCCTCAAAAGCCTCCAGCCACAAAAAAACCCTCTCAAGCTAAAATTAAAAGTTTTGAGAAGCCGCATGTCATGTCTGTCTGCAAGATAAGCTCTAGCCATGATCTACAGCCAGTGCCAAGTGATATAGTTCTGTGGGCTTTATTTGATGATATTGCTGTAGCCCATTATATCGGGGGGGGGGGGGGAATCAGCTGCAGATGCTTGAGTTTCCCTCCCACAAAGAAGGGAGATGGCTTCACCTCCTCCCTGCCTCAGTATTTAAAGGTACATATCACCCCTTGCAAGTTTGCAACCTCTGCATTATGCAGCATAAGTAAGGGTTTTTTAAAAAAATGAGACAGATGATACCCTGAAGAAATAAAACCTCCTCTCTGGTGCTTATTCCTGTATTTCTTTCCATCTTCCCCGTACCTTTCTGCCTTCCTGGTGTTTTAAAAGGCACTACACTATCCAACACTAATTGCTGAAACAGTTGCCTAACTGTAGATTGCTCTACAGTTGCATTAAACAGTGTCCAGATAGATAGATAGATAGATCCTAGCTTGTCCATGCTACTCCTGTGGAAGAGGGAAGAAATGCAGGCTCTCCCTTCTTTTTCTTCTTCCACCTCCTCCTTGTACCCCTCCCCTTCCTTTGATTTCATGGGTGTGGCAGGGTTGAAACCTCTCTTTCTCTCAAACACAAGTGTATTGCATCAGGGAAGCAATGAATAAGGCAAGGATCATCTCACCTACAAGTGGGAAATGCTAGCTCTCATTTAATCACCCATTCCATCCATTACTGAGCACTTTACTCACATAGTATTTGTCTGTTCCAATATATAGTAGAAAACAGGAGAAGCACAGCCATTGGTTAATGGAACATATATATAAGGCACATTTCCAAGCACAGAGTACAACATAAACTTTAGGAGTTTATCTTCAAAATATACCCAAACATAATCTCCAATTCTTCTTCTGCATCACCTTTCAGCATTTTAATGGTGGTGGGGTTTTTTAAAGGCATACAGCTGCCAAGGTGTTAAAAATCTAGGTAGTGCCTCTGCAAGGCCAGTTAGGTATAATGTTTCATTCTGTGCATTCCGGTTACAGGCACAAACAAACTATAGGCATAGATTTTGAATGGGGTAGGCTAAAATTGGATATATGTGCTTCTACATCTATCCTTCTAGAATACCACATATACATTCAAATACATATGATCAACATAGATGCATGGAAACAGATATGTACTTCAGAGTCCACCCACACCCAACTCCCAGCCCCAAAAAGGATTCTGCTATTTGTCCTTTTGCAAGCAAAAATACAGGAGGGGATTCCCCAGGAAGCAAATAAACCTCCCTTAAATTTGGAAACACCCACTTCAGATCATGGTTGTCTGTTATCTGGCTTTCCTTTTCTGAATAGTTGAAAGGAAGAGCAGGAAGAGGGTCAAGGATGGGAAGAGAGGGGTTACTTCACTTCCTCTAGGTTCAGTTTATAACGTATAGGTTTGAACTTCCATGTGTTTTATGAGCATGATCTGTGTGTGCGCACAAGCAGTATAACTCTCAGGGTAGAACGGAGATGCATGTGTGGGTGTGTCTGAATAGAGGTTTGCACCTGTGTGCAGTTATGTCTGTGTGTATGAATGAGTGGGTATGTGCATGGGTGTGTCTCTTTGTGTCTGCAAAAGTATGTGCACTGAATTGTATATTGATAGGTATATTTAGATGTGTGGGAAAATGCTCTATGTATGGTTGCATCCATGGAAATGCACTCAGGGGTGTGGCTGGTGTCTGAAAGAGTATCTTTTTCTTTTCTTTTTTAATCCAGCACAGATTTATAAATGTGCATGAAAACTAGGAAGCATAAAAACCCACCCACATACATAGAAAAAGTATAAGAGCATAACCATGAGGTGGGTAGGATATTAGCCATGTGCTCTCCTTTGAAAAGATGGTGACTGTTCCTCTCACAAGCCTATCACTTCCAAAACCTTCAGAGGCTGCTGCTACCTTATTTTAAAATGTGTTAAGCCTCTCCACTCACTGCTGTGTCATTTTTGCCTTCCTCCTGCTGCCTTTTCATCCCACATATGGCTACTGAATATGCTCTGCTGGCTGACTGCAACATGTTCTATGTCCACTCTGCTTCAGGATTTAGTGAATGTACCACCAACTGGAGTGTGTCTAAAACACACACACACACACATTCGGAAATAGATGCTATTGCAAGTGGAAGTTCCCGTTCACCAACCCCACCCTAGAGATCTTCCAGACCACCTTTCTAACATATATGTTGGCTCGGAAAGGCATGCCGCTTTTCAAAATCCAGATATTCAGTAGTCACAAATAACCATTTCAATCACCACAGTTTCCACCCACCCAACACCCTAGATGCTGCATTATGGAACAAGCTGATATACTGGAAGGAAGCTGCCAGATGCAAGATTTTTTTTATTAAAAAAAACCAACCTACTGAGATTTCTCTTTTAAAACCTATACATCTACAAAATCCTTTTTCCACACATCAAAGACACCAAAATCCTGGTCCAGTTTGAATAAATCAGAAGTTAGACCACATGATGAATAAGATAAATTGCTCTCCACAAAGAAGGATTTGGAGCAGACTTGACCATTGACCAGCAGTGGAGTTTATAGGTGTGTGGAGGGGAGGGGCAGAAGACTGTCTGAGGGCGTCTTTACAATTTTATCATTAATTACTGGAAATGAAATGCCTTTTCAGTCTTTCCACAAAACCCCACTTGCCTCCCCCCCAAACCTTGTGGGCCAACTAGAAATTAACCAGGTTCCACCAAGTTGATATACTGTTCCATCTTCCCCATCCCACCGTAGCTGAGAGCTAACAGAGGCGTGGTCCTCTGTCTCTTTTACCAGCTGGTGCACAGTTGTCCAAGTGTCCCCGGCATGAAAGGAATTGCAGAGGGAACCCCAGCCCACACCCCTAATCTCTCCTAGCAGCTCATTTGTTTCCCCCACCCCTAAGAAAAAAAATTTAAAAGGCAATGGGAGGAATGGTAGAGCTATTCTTCTTCAAGTTGCTTAAAGAAAAAGAGAAGGAAAGCCCACATCCATCTTCCAAGCTCCTTCTAATCTCTATCAGTACAATCACAGACAGAAAACATCTCTCAGCTAAGATTCACATGGTAGCTCGGGAAGGGGTGTATGAAAGGGAATTGCCTCAACGCTCCCCCTCTCCATTTTCCTCTCTCCTTCCTCCCATCCATATCCACACACCCTCGACAAATCCGAAATAGACAATCCTATGCCACGTACATTCCCACGACCCCCCTCCCCCAGGTGTGTCTAACAAGGATATCCCCCTTATTGCTCCCCAGTTCTGATCATTAGGCAGCCTTCCCCCCACCCACCCACCCGCCAACTCCACGGGAGGCAGAGAAAGAGAGGGAAAAACCACCCCTCCGTTGCATACATGGAAGGGGTGTGATCTGAGCCTTTCGTGGGAAGATGCTAAAGAATTGCAAAGGAAGCAGTTTCCTATATTAAGAAAAAAAAGATTCTTTCTTTCTCTCCTGCACGCAGATCCAACGCACATTAAGCCCACAAGTCTTAGGAATTTCTCGGCGGAAAAGAGGTATAAAATCTTCAGCTCTACCTGTTTTGTTCTTCTCATACAGCACAGCATGATTGTATTGTCCCCTTTCTTCCTTGTTGTTCCTTCCTTCTCCTCTCTCCTTTTTCCTCCTCTCTCTCTCTCTCTCTCTTATCTCTCCCCCCACCCTCTCCACTCCCTCCCCTCCCTCTTTCTCGCTCCTCGCACACACTCACACACACGCACACCCTCACTCTCACAAACACGCCAGGGCAGTTAGCGGCAACTGTAAGGTCCACAGCTATTGCTCATCACACATGCTCTCTCGCTCGCTCTCCCCCTCGCTCCCTCCCTCCCTTCCTCTTTCCCAGAATTGTTCACTGGCAGCTCTCAGTGACTAGTCACTTCCCCACCCCCAGCCCCCTACCACCACCACCACCACTATCAAGGCAGCCACCCCCTCGCAAGTCCTCTGCCAGCCTCATGAATATTTAAACCTATCCAATCTGGACCCAATTACCCGGCGACTTTCCCACTGTACAAAAATTGCGGGGTGGGCGTGGGGGGGGGAGAGAGAGAGAGAGAGAGAACATTGCAGACTGCTCAGGGGGTGTGGCAGCGTATGGTTGTCAAAAGGCAGCTGTGTTTCGTAGTGGGTCGTTTAAAAAAGAAAAGGTGCGGAACTCATTCACACCGTAGTGGTTAGAGAAAGGAGCAAGCAGGGGCCACAGAGGTGTGTCTGTGTAAAAGTAAAGTAGTAAGTCAACGGCTAATGCATGCAGTGTGTTACCAGCGTGACGTGATGTATAGACTGGAAGACAGCCCTGAGGGTGGGCTGCACCCTTCAGCCACATGCACGTATAACAAAAGTACAGGCAGATTTCACAAACACGTTGGCAACCAGGAAGCGACATGCAATTGCACGGACGGCAGAATCACTTGTCTTTAAGATGGGTAGGATCCTGTTATGTGCTTACCCGAGGGGTTGCTTGCAGAGATTCAGGCACATTTTGACATGTTCAGGTTGCACCGTGACAGTGCGGCATAGTGGTTAGAGGGTTGGGATTAGGTAACCGGGCAACGGGGGTTCAGATCCTCACTTCAGTCATGAAACTCGAGTTACTTTGGGCCATTCACAGTCTCTCAGCCAAATCTACATCACTGGGGTGTTTTGAGGATAAAATGAAAAGGAAGAGAAGCATTTACACCACCTTGAACTTCCTGGAGGAAAGTGGAATGGAAGTGCGAGCCCACTTGCCCCAAGTGGGGACTTTTTTTGAGAAGGAAACTGATGGCGAAATGGCCTAAGCTTTTCTTCAATGCCACGTTGTGTAGCCTCCCTGCAAACAAGTCAGGTTGAATGTCCATCAACTGGAAGCAGCCTCAGTGGGACTTCCTTCTGAGTCGACATGCACTGTAAGACTATAAAGTGGGGGTGGGGAACCTGTGGCTCTTCAGAAGATAAAGGGCTCTGCACCTTGAACCCAGCCTAGTAGCTAATTGGCAGCCGATGTAATTCTTTCAGCATCATATGATGGCGATATTCCGCCCTAGTGAGCAACCAAGCCACCACATTTTGCACTAGCTGCAGCTTCCAGGGCAGCCTCAAAGGCAGCTTCACATAGAGCGCATATATGTGTAGGCATGCATGAAAACATTCACATATGCATCATGCATACATTATCATTGGAACGTCCAGAGAAATAATCACAGCACACATTTACGTGTGCCTTCTGAGAATCTGAGGCAGGATGACTAACTGCCAAATGTGGAAATTCATGGATCTGAGCCATTTCAGAGTTACTGAAATGAAAACTCAAATAAAATCAATCCCTTTTTCCCCAGTTGACATATTTCTTGAACTTTCCTGTTCATCAGGATCTGTCACTGAGGTCTTCCCACACAGCCACATGTTTATTATTTTTAACTCTCGTGGTCTTTGTTCCAAAGTTGAAACTCAATTAACCAGCCTACCTGTAATCTAATGCAGGGTTATGTACACAAAATGCTCTTGAAATAAATGGACAACATAACCTGAACAGTGTCTTAAGAGTGTGGCCTCTTTAATAGGAGAAGGGTGCATCTAGAATTAGACTGGATTTAACAACCATAACCCCCTAACAAAATCAGGAATGGGCAAACCGCCCTCACTTCACCTAAAAAACAAATCTGGGGTTTTTCCAATCTAATTCACAAACAGTGATTGCAAAACCCAGATGGCAGAACTGTCTCCCATCCTGCCAGTTCTCTCCACCCCACCCCCCGCACCCTTGCCAGTTCTCTCCCTGCCCCCACCAGCAAAAAAGAACATTTTTGAAATTAAGGAGAAAAAGGCAACAGAAAGGAGCCCCAGCACGCTGGCTCAGGCAGGTGACTGGCCTGCCAAGCTCCAGAAGTTGAAATAACACTCCTGAGCATCTTCAGAAGTGTCATTTACCACTCCTGGATATAGCAACTGGCCATACAGCTGGTCTAGCAATGAGCCAGACTCCCTCCTGCCATTGTTTACCTCAGGGTGCAGAACCTCAGTCCCAGGATCCAAATGCAACTCGCCGGGCCTCTCCGTCTGGTCCTTGGGGCTATTTCCAGGCCAGGCCCCTGCCCCAGACCATAAGAGCATAAGAAGAAGCTGCTAAATCAGGCCAATGGCTCATATGGTCCAGCATCCTGACTTTGCAGTGGCCAACCAGATGCCTATGGGAAGACTACAAGCATGACCCAAGCACAAGAACACTCTCTCCTTCTGTGGTATTCATAAGCATTACCTCTTCCAGCCGTGGAGACAGGGCACAGCAATTGTTGTGAGTAGCCGTTGCGGCCACACCTCTGCCTGGCCCTGTTCTATACTCAGTTTGTGTTTTAGCCTGACTGCTCTACATACCCAACTCCACCAACCATTCCTCATAAGGCTTGGTTTCCACAACACTATATCATCTTGGTTGCCCTCCTCTGCACATATTCCAGCTTGTCAATATCCTTGACAAGGATATTGTGGTGCCCAGAATTGGACATAGTACTCCAAATGGAGTCTGACCAAGGCAGTACCTTCTGAAATCATCTTGGATCAGCATACGGGTGACTTCGCATTTATGCGAGGGTTCCGTTCTAGAGCGCAGCGTGCATATGCAAAAATCACATATAATACGGAGCACCCTAGAGAGTCCTAGTGGCTCATGAGGAGACCAACTCCAAAGCGGACTTCTTCGGACTCCGGGGAGGGTCTCCTCGTGAGCCAGAGAGGCAGCGGGGCTTTGTGGAGCTGTTCAGCATCACTGCCTAACAGCTAACATGTGGGGTAGTGCAGCAGCAGCAGCTTCTCTGTGTGTCAGCTGAAGTAGCCTTGCTGCCCCTCCAGCTCACATGGAGACCCACCCAGGAGCCCAAAGAGGACATCCTCTTCGGGCTCTGGGGACAGTCTTCTCATGAGCCAGAGCCTTGTTGAGGCTGCTCAGCTGAGGCATGGGGAGCCTTTCCTGTCCATCAGCTGAGCGGCTTAACAAAGCCCGCCCCGCCTCTCCGGCTTGCATGAGCCAGAGTGGCTTGGGGGTTGCTCAGCTGAGTTGAGGGGAGGCTTCTTCCTTGTGCCTCAGCTCTGCCCGTCAAGGAAGCCACCCTGTCTCTCAGGCTCACATGCACACAAGCCGGAGGGACAGGACAGCTTCCAGAGCTGATGTGCAGGGAAGCACCTGCTGCTACTGCTCTACCCTGCAGATCAGCTGTTTGGTGGAAAGCCTCATCAAAGTCCCACTGTTCCTCTGGCTCGCAAGGAAGTCCTCCCCAGAATCTGAAAAGGACGTCCTCTTCAGGCTCTGGGAAGGGTCTCCTCGCAAGCCCCGAGGATTCTCCAGAGGACTCCCCATTTCTGGGATCCCCTTCCAGGATCCCGGCACCATGCATGTGTGCAGTCGTGCGCAAATAGGGGAGTTGCCTGTACTTAAAATGTTCAGACACCTGAACTTTTATTCGAATCATGTATTCAATTTTTATTTGGGGGAGGGGAGGAAAGTGGAATGAATACTTGTTGTTTGAAAGGCTTTGTCAAGCCACATAAGTTCTCTTCATTTTTCAGTAGTAAAACATTTCTTTGAATCATTCCAGGGTTGCCTAGCTACGTCCTATGAATCTTTACATTACATGGGTTTGCTTATCCTCCCTTCCCCTCTGCACACAAGTGCACTCTTCCCCAATGTTATGAAGCAAAGAGCCTCCATAACCCTGGTTGGCACAGGGCCTCTTCTCAAACCTGAAGGGCTTGCTGGTATTGCCTTTTCCCTCTTCTGACTATACCTTCTGTCTCCCCAGACAATGATGCACAAAAGCTGAATAAGAAGCGATAAGACCATCAATATGTTTTATGGTTTGCCATGAAGCAAAGGTGGGGAAGCTTTTTCAGCCCAAGCCCCCACCCCTTGGGCAACTTTCTAGGGGCCACATGCCAGTGGTGGGAATGACCAGAGGCACAAATGGGTACAGCAAACACACAACTCTTATCTTTGTACTGTGAGCTACATTCAGCCACGCAAAAGTCAGAGTTTTCTACACACACGTGCCTATCTCTCCATCCTCTAGCCAGGCAAGCAAGAGGCATCATAGCTATCCAAGGACACATTTCACCCACATAGAAACACTCCACGAGGCTGCAGAGCAAGAAGGGTGAGGGGTGTGGCCTTGGGAGAGGGATGTGTGGATCAAGGGGAGCTCTGAGGTCAGACAGAAAGTCCTGAGGGCTGCAGTCAGCTACAAGGCCGGAGGTTTCCCCAGCCCTGCCATAAAACATCACCATTAATACCATTAAAAGGGTACAAATTAATAAATTAATTAATAATGGATTTCCCCCTCGTATGCGTGGTTGTATTATTATTATTATTATTATTATTATTATTATTATATTTTTAATACCCCACCCATCTGGCTGCACCTCCCCAGTCACTCTAGGCAGCTTCCAACAAAATATTAAAATACAGTAATCCATCAAACATTAAAAGTTTCCCTAAAATGGGCTGCCTTCAGATGTCTTCTAAAAATCTGGTGGTTGTTCTCTTTGACATCTGGTGGGAGGGTGTTCTACAGAGTGGGTGCCAGTACCAAGAAGGCCCTCTGCCTGGTTCCCTGTAACTTGGCTTTTCACAGTGACAGAACCACCAGAAGGTCCTCAGCGCTGGACCTCAGGGCCTGGGTAGAACGCCGGGGGTGGAGACGCTCCTTCAGGTATACTGGACCAAGGCCATTTAGGGCTTTAAAGGTCAACACTTTGAATTGTGCTTTGAAGCATGCACTCGCCAGAGTGGTGCATGCTCTGGTTATCTCTTGCTTGGACTACTGCAATGCGCTCTATGTGGGGCTACCTTTGAAGGTGACCTGGAAACTACAACTAATCCAGAATACGGCAGTTGACTGGTGACTGGGAGCGGCCGCCAAGACCACATAACACCGGTCTTGAAAGACCTACATTGGCTCCCAATACGTTTCAAAGCACAATTCAAAGTGTTGACCTTTAAAGCCCTAAATGGCCTTGGTCCAGTATACCTGAAGGAGCGTCTCCACCCCCGGCGTTCTACCCAGACCCTGAGGTCCAGCGCTGAGGACCTTCTGGTGGGAGCCAATGTAGGTCTCTGGCGAGTGCATGCTTCTCTCTTCTCTCTCTCTCTTTCTCTGTTGTGCATTGAGATTCCCTGCCTCATTTCCTCATTCACTATAGCTGGCCTTGAATTGGGCAATGAATAGTTACCATAATCTCCAACTGCCCCCCAAATACTGGGACAGCCACAAAAACCCTTAAGCCATCATGGCTTCTCACTTTGTTATGCAGAGCCCCAATTCCTATCTTTGTTGAGATACGCTAACTGGAAATGGCATTGCATTGGGGGAAGCTGTGGAGGGGAGTTGCCAACCAAGCCACCTTCTCTTCCTCCACCAACGTCACCTCCTTTGCTGCCACTCCTGGGAGTCAGAGAAGGCAGGGTGCAGGGGAAAGGGTCTTGTGCAGGGTCCAAGGAAGGCTGGCCAGTAGAGAAGCAGCAGCAGTATCAGGAATAGGAGGAGGAGGAAGGGGGAGTGAGGCAATGGGGACGATGCCACCATCACCATCCCCGCCATGGGAAGCTGAGACTCTCTAGCCTGGTGGGCCCCTAGCCCCACACCCAGCCAGCCATACTAAATAAAAACAAGAAGGTTAAAGTGAGCTAAGTCAGGAATGAAGAGAAGGCTGGAGGAGACCCTGGGCAGGAGAAAGCCCTAGGGGTGGTGAGGCTGTAGCTGGTGGGGTGGAAGTGGGCCTGTTGGGTGCTGGAGTTTGGGGGATAGGGGCAAGGAAGTTATGGGGCTTGAGGGTGGTCACTGGAGCTAGCTGGGCTTCATGGGGGATGTCTGTATCATGGAAATTTTTAATAAAAATCTGAATGTGCAACCCACCAGCAGCGGCAGTGATACTGCTATAGAATAGAATGTCCCTATTTTCATCTGAAGAATGTTGGAGGGTTTGATGTTACTACAAATCAGAACTGGAAACTCAGTTTTGAAATGGTGGGTTTCCCACTTTGGGTATCATGGCAAAGTTGAGGTATGATGAACCAGGAAATGAGGGAAAGAATCAGAGCTCACAAGTGGTGCTGTGGGGGAGCAAATGTGATTGTAGGTTTGATTGTGGCATCTGTACTAAGCCAACGTCAGTCATTCCATTGGTTTGCCATTTGTAAAATGAGAATAGTCATAGACCATCTCAGAGACTGTTGGGCAGATCAATGAATAAACACTTTGCAAGATCAATGACTTTGTAGAAACTGTTACAAACTAGCAGCCTCATATCTGGCATTTTTCAGGAATTCTGAGAAAAATCAGCACAGTTTTGAAATCAGTGGTTAAAAATTAACACAGTATTGAAAGGTTCAGTCCACCATCTCAATTCAAAATGGCATCCAATTGTATCCAAACACAGATGAAAACCTGCTACTTGATCTCAGGAACTACAATACAAAATTTGGTTACAATACTTTAAGAGGTGTCTCAATGCACAGCAAACAAACAACTTTCCGAAATATGTAGTAGATGACTGGACAGGATTCTACAGCAATATTTTAGCCTCTACTTTCCCTTCCAACAAACCCAGATTCTCCCTCAAAAGAACCTTGTGGCAGTTATTTTAACTCTTCCTCAGACAATTCCTGTCATTTCAAATCTAAGATATGTGAATGATAAAATAATAATAATACAGTGGTGCCTCGCAAGACGAAATTAATTCATTCCGCGAGTTTTGTCGTCTTGCGATTTTTTTCGTCTTGTGAAGCACGGTGTCGGGAAAGTTTTGGAAAAGCTTCAAAAATCACCAAAGTCTTAAAAAACCTCAAAAAGGCTACCACACTGCGTTCTATGAGTTGCTCCTCGAAGTCAAGTCGCAACTGTATTAACGGTGTTAAGAAAAAGGAAACAAACTTGCAAGACGTTTCCGTCTTGCGAAGCAAGCCCATAGCGAAAATCGTCTTGCGAAGCAGCTCAAAAAACAAAAAAAAATTCGTCTAGCAAGTTTTTTGTCTTGCGAGGCATTCGTCTTGCGAGGTACCACTGTAATAATAATAATAATAACTGGTCCAAATCTAGTCCCAGTCATGGCTGTCCTCTTCTTTTGAGAGGGCAATTTAGTCTGGAATGAAAATATCCAGTTGCTATAGCTAAAAAATAACATGATTTTAAAAGGCCTTTTGTATGGAGCCTGTCACTACACACACACACACAGAGAGAGAGAGAGAGAGAGAGAGAGAGAGAGAGAGAGAAGGGAGTTCCAGCAGTGACAGAATCACCTAGATTCAAAATCAACCAGTAGCAGAAAGAAATATTAATTGAATGAAACAACAAAGTGCAAAGGTGTTGTGTATCAGGTCTGAAGATTTCAAAGTGAGCTGAATAGCCCTAGCTCAGTAGCAGGTGGACATGCTTGGCATCCTGAAGATCACAAGTTACATTTTAAGCATCTCCAGTTTACAGTATATTGGGCAGCAGGAACAGAAGAAATCTTTGCCTGAGACTTTGAATGCAGGCTATCCAGGTGGCTGTGGATTATGAGAGCTGGATTCCAACATCTTGGAGGGCCACCTGTTTAAATCCCATTTGATATGCCTGAATAGGGCTTAAATATAATATGTCCCCAACCTGCACTTCTCCAGAAGTTTTGGACAGCATCTCCCATCAGGCCCAGCCAACATGAGCTAATTGGGATGGTGGCAACTGTGGTCCAGAGCGTCTGGAGAGCTTGAACTGGCCAATTCCTGAGCTTCCCCTTTCAGATATTGTGTTTGGTGATTGAATTAAAGTAGGTCAGAGGAAAAGCAAATGCTTGTGGCAGCATTAAAGTGGTGTGTGTGTTAATCACAAACTCTAATTCTGGCACAGGCCTCCTAGTTCTAATTATGGGATTTTCAGTGAAACATATCCCAGATTCTCAAAATCTTCAGTTAGCACAATTTAATATACTTATGGCTCCATTGCCATATAATCTGTACTCTTCAGAAGGCCCTGAATTTCAATGTCATACAGACCAGGGATGGCTAACCTGTGGCCTCCAGATACTGGTGGACAACAGCTCCCATCATTCATTCATTCCATCTAGGGCTGATGGAAGATGTAGTCTGACAACATACAGTGAGCCAAAGGATATCCATTTCTGACACAGACACACACTAATCTGTATAAGAAGAGAAAAGGTAGTTGCCCATTCTCTTCCCACTCACTTATACCTCACTTGCACAGTTTTACAGTATGTTCCAATCCTCCCCATCACAAGTCTAGTATGGGGCCTTTTATAGTCTGACCCAAAGCAGGTGGTAGAATCAACGGTGGCTCACTGTGACTTGTTTGCAAAGCATTTTGAGAATAACATTGCTTGCACCCTCCAGAACCTTAATTCCACTGTTACAGCAGATGGGTCTCATCAAGCATCCAGAACACTGTCTAGTCCTGTTGTGTTGGATGAGTTTCAGTTAGTAAGCGGCATTGGTCACCCTGTATGATGACCTCTGCTGGGGGGGAGTGTGTGTGTGTGTGTGTTCCTGTTAATTCTCCTTGATCTCTCAACAGCTTTCAGTATCAGTGACCATGATATCTTCTGGAGCAGCTGTCCAAAATGAGGGTGGATGGTACTGCTCTGCAGTGGTTGCAGCCCTACTTGGATGGTTATTTTCAGAGGGCGCCTCTTATGGAATATTGTTCAATCCATGAAGACTTCAGTGTGGGGTTCAACAGGGTTCAGTTTTACCCCCATGCTGTTTAACATCTACATGAAACCAGAGTGGAGCCATCCAGAGTTTTGGAGTATGTTGACAGCAATACACTAAATTCGTAACATGACAGGATTTATCCTTCAGCAGCTTCCCAGCAAAGCCCAATTGTGATTGCTCATACCTTTCCTTGCTTTCGAGGATTTGGTTGTCATTTGGTCCATCTGGGAAAGGGCCATAGCTCAGTGACAGAGCACCTGTTCTGCATGTAGAAGATCTCCAGTTCAATCTCTGGCATTTTCAAGTAGGGCTAGAGGAGACCCCTGTCTAAAACCCTGGTGATCTGTATGGACAATACTGAGCTAGATGGACCAATTCGGTATCATTCTATTGGGCAAGGGCTGTAGCTCAGTGGTAGAGCATCTGTTCTAAATGCAAAAGGTCCCAGGTGCAACCCCTGGCATTCCTAGGTAGAGCTGGGAATGTCCCGTGCCTGGTGCCCTGGACATCCACTGCCAGTTAGTGTCAACAGTACTGAGTTACATGGACCAAAGGCCTGTCTCAGTATAAGGCAGCTTCCTATGTTCCATTGCTCAGCCAAAGGCTTCTGCCATTTCCTCTAAATGACTTCTAAGCTGCCCCTTCCTCAGTTCCCCCCCGTAAAACCTTCTCCTACTAAAAAGAAAGTTCTATGTCTCCTTCCCCCACTTCTCGTACTATAGCAGTAATACCTTTCTGCACAGGTCATTCTACAGGTGTTCCTTAAATGACAAGCAAGGGGGAAAGTGACTGTGAGGAAGTCAGTGAGGAGACAAAAAGAGCAGTTGGGGAAATATTTGCACAACATTTATTTGAAAGGGCAGATTCCTGAATCATTGGGGCCTTCCAATGCGAAGCATGCTTCATAAATATTAGATTGAAATTATTATCTTTCTAGAATCAGCTAGCCTGGTTGGTGATGGGGTATGTATATGTCACACTGTCTTACCGCATAAGGATTTGCTGTGTACATCTGTTTTGTTCATACAGCATTGTTCATGGCTTAATCTTAATTTATGAGGCCTGCCTCTGGGCCATTTCTTCTACTGCCAAGCCTGTTTTGCCTTAACAGAAGAAATGAGGGTTTTTCTCCCCTTCTCACTCACTGCTCTATTCTTATCCTGCCAGCACACTTATTTATTGATCTGCTTTTGTTCGTTAAGAAAATTTGTATCCTGCCTTTCCACTGAAAAAAACCCCTAAACCAAAATCACCCAAGACAGCCAACAACATCAAAAATCCAATAAAACAGCAATAATCAATTAAAACAATTAGAAAAAGACAGTGTTTCAGGTAATGAAAGCCCGGTTCATACCCCACTTATCTGCAAGGAGGTAAGTGAGTTAGGGTTGCAGGTTAAATCATCACAGTCAATGGGAAAGTTTTTTTTGAAAAGCCCACTTTTTAAAAAGAATTTGTGCATTTTTACAAAGAAGGATGGATAACATGGGATGAAATGGGTTTGTGGCACTGGATTTGCTGGTGTAAAAGACCACAACTCATGCATGTTTTCAGTCAGGACTTCCACTACCTACATACTAGCCGTTGCCTGGCCTGTTGCATTGCATCTAGCTCACTGGTATGCCAGCGTATGTTCCGCATTACCAGAGAGGACACTCAGGAGTGATCATACTTATGGCCCTCTGCATCTCACTGCTCCATAGCAAGGCAAAGGCCTTGGCGGGATTGACAGTTCTAGTTGCATGAGAGCCAGTGTGGTGTAGTGGTTAAGAGTGGTGGACTCGTAATCTGGGGAACCGGGTTTGCTTCCCCGCTCCTCCACATGCAGCTGCTGGGTGACCTTGGGCCAGTCACACTTCTCTGAAGTCTCTCAGCCCCGCTCACCTCACAGAGTGTTTGTTGTGGGGGAGGAAGGGAAAGGAGAATGTTAGCCGCTTTGAGACTCCTTCGGGTAGTGATAAAGCGGGATATCAAATCCAAACTCTTCATCTTGCATTGTTAGGAAATCCCTCATTGGCTCTAAAGGGGGATTTCCACCCCAAAGTAAATTCCAAGCAAATTCAGAAATGAGAGGTTTTTTCTTGAGAATAAAAGTTTATGATGAAATGGTTTAATACCCTCCTGCATGCCTGGTGAGTTCCCAGGAATTATCACCCCTCCCCCCAAAAAAATAAACAACAGACACATTTTGCGTTTTAAAAATTCTGCATCCTGCAACAGCAAAGGCACATTTAACATCCTGTCTAGTAAACAAGGTTGCAGGTTCCACAGTAATAAAGTCTGCCAATAATTCCCCCCCCCATTCTTTTCTGACTTCAGCTCCAGGCAGCTTACCTGACTGCACTCTTTTGCTGTAGTCAGACATCAAGGGAGATCAGGTGACTATAGCTGTGCACCGCTCTCCCTGCAGGCATGTAGACCTACGGCTCACAGAATAAGTTTCTGGTTATTCTCCATAACAGTCTGTTGTTGTTTTTAAAAGATTGCTTCTGATTTACTCAGATTTTTCCCCTGGATGTAGCAAAAATATTGAGGATGCCGAGCCCCAGAACAATGCTCTACAAAAGTGATTACATTTAAAAAAAAGAAAGAAAGAAAAGAAATCTTCTCACGTTGCAGGTTTCAATTTGTCACAGTTAATCCTTTAATTGGCCTTTCTGATGGAGGAGAATTTCATGGCTGGTATTAGCACCGAATGGCCAAAAATCTGAGTTAATTTTGCTGTGACTACTTTGTGTTCATTTGGCAAAACAAAAATCCTAGAAGATGTCCCCTACAAAACCTTCCTAAAGGGCTTTTCCAAGCTTTCTGATGTCAGCAAAAGCCAGTGGAGAGAAAATGGACTCTGATTAACTAGGAAGCTTTCATTCCTTCTGTCTATGGCTGCAAATGGCCACAATGTGCCATAGGAACTTTATGTTCCTCTTCAAGTGTAGCTCCCAGGAAGCTCAGGTACTAAAATTGCCCTTTATTGTATTTCAACCATAGATGAAGTGTGGAACTGGGATAAGCAATGTATGTGAGAAACTCTGATGGCTGTTAGAGTAGAAGGTGTGCATAATACGCAGAGGAAAGGAGTATATAAGAACATAGGAAGAGCCTGCTGGATCAGGCCAGCAGTCCATGTAGCCCAGCATTTTGCTCTCAGTTGACAACCAGATGTCTGTGAGGAACCTGCAAGCAGGATCCAAGCACAAGAGGCCTCTCCCCTCCAGCAACTGGTATCTAAAAGCATTACCGACCCATCGCAGAAGCAACAACAGAGAACTGGAAGTTCTTTGTACGTGACTTGTTGGCTGATAAACTTTTGCCGTCTTTGATGGGCATCAAACAGTTGCATGTTTTGCCTGGAGTATAAATGGTGTACACAAGAAAACAGTCACATTACAGAGATGCAAAAACTACAAAGAGCCTTGTGGCACCGTAATGACTAACAGATTTATTATGAGGAAAGTTTTCATGGACCACAGTCCACTTCATCAGATGCATGAAGTATAAAGTTTCAGCTCTTTGTTTAGCATTGCTTGGTGTGGGAAGGAGGAGATATTATTGGTAGTGGTTTCTCCTTGATCGTCAGAGTATATTGAAAACAAGAATTAAAGAAGGAGGATGTTATTTCAAATGAAAGGAATTCCTCTTTTTCAAACACTCTTTCACCCTGCAGATCAATTATGGAGCTTCTTCTTCCCTACCCTCCATCTCCTAACGCTTTCTGGTACAGGAGCCACAATGTTGTGAAGTCCCTTTACTGGGCAACTTTCTCCATCTTACTCCCCTTCTCCCAAAACCAAACTGGTGTCTTGGGAAGGAATCTTCACAAAGATCTTCTCATGTGGTGAAGGAATTGTGTCATTAGCTGAGGATTCACAGTTAACTCTCTGCTGCTGCTGTACGCAAGTGAGTTGAACAAAATTTTGCTGAAGCCCTTTTCAGAGGTTCTGAGGTCCCAGGGTGAACCTATGCAGATGTGGAGAGCAGGATCATGGCCTTCTTCACCCCTGGTTGTTCACCAGACTATCTATATTGCCCTGGGTCAAGTATAAGCTCTGCATAGGTTGACTTAACCAAGCAGTTGTGTGAATGAGGCCACATTTCTATTGTTTCAACACATAAGTATGACTGGATAGAGAACATATGTAGGCTCACATCTTTGTTTGTCTGTTTGTTTGTCTCCCACCGGGAGCACAGAGCAGCTAACAATATAGTATCACATCCACGGCAGTACACAATAGTAAAAGATCATTAAAAACATCACAATATAACCAAAAATGAAAGCAAAATAGAAATGGCAGTAGGAGGGAAAACAAGAATAGTAGAGTCAACAAAGAAAGTTGGTTGCATTCCATAGGCCTGGGCAGTGGCTGGCATCTGGGGGCGTGGTATGCCACCCGCAAGGGCGTGGTGCACTGCCCGCAGGGGCGTGGTGCATGTTCTGGGGGCGTGGCATGCTGCCTGCAGGGGTGTGGCATGGAGGGGTGCATGGCACGTGTCCGGGGGGGGGTGCCGCGATGGCAACCTACCAGAATAGTGGTGCTGGGGGCGATCCACTCCCTCCACACCCCCGTTCCTCCGCCAGTGGGCCTGGGTAGGCTTGAGCAGGGCAGGGGGCTGTCTTCATGATCCCGCAGGAAGGAGTATACTTGTCAAAGCAAGCTAGGAGAAGGGCTGTAGCTCAGTGGTAGAGCATCTGGCTTTGCACCCAGAAGGCCCCATGTTCAATCCCCATCTCCAGGTAGGATATGGAAAGAACCTATGGACAGTCACTGCCAATCTGTATAGGCAATACGGAGATGGATGGACCAATGGCCTGATTCAGTACAGGTGTCTCCCCACTTATGCGTGATCAGCACGCGCACTCCCACTGACATGCACACCAAAAACATCTCTGAAAGGGGGCGGGAATCCCCACTTGCACACATCCCAGTGACACTCACAGCGGGCCAGAATGGAACCCCCGCATAAGTGGAGGTTCCCCTGTATAAGACAAATTCCTATGCTTCTGCGCAAGTTTTCTACAGCCTGGGAACTGTCCCGGGTTCTGCAGCCCTCGTCCTCCAGTGTGTTCTTTCCCCCTCCTCATCTGCGCCAGGCCATATGTTGGATACAATGCCTGTTGAGTGGACTGCTCTGGCACACAGGCTCCTAATCCCTCACTGGTGAATTGTGTCTGATTTACTAGCACTGAACAGAGGAGTTCTTGCATTCAAAACACGTTCTAGCTTTCCGGTTTCACTGAGCTGTAATGTACACGTGATGTTGAAGGTGCAAAGTTTAAACAGTACACATGCTTTAGTCTTGAGTTCAGCAAGGCTCATATTTTAGTAATTTAGGTTGTCAAAATTTGGCTCTAACAGTCTCTAGAATGAATTATTTGGAGACCTAGGGTAATGTGGAGGTTAAGAGGCTGAGCTATGAACCTTAAATCCGTACTTCAAGTCTCCTTTCTTTGCCATAACTCAGTTGGCAGACTTGGACAAAACATTATTTTCACTGTGGCCCCTGTTTTCAGTTTGGGAGAAAAGATATTTACTGGGTTATTGTATGTAAAGGTCCCTGGATATCTGACACACCTGAATATAGCGCTGTATAAATGCCTGAGTGTCATTATTATGTGGTGGTGATGTAATGACTGAGCTCTGTACGCCTTAAGACCCAGTGTCCTGATGGTAAGGGTGATGAAAATTAATCAAATTAACACTTATCTGGCTAAAAATAAAAATGCCACTTCTTCTGTCTCATTTAATAGATGCAGAGAGGAGGGGCTGGCAAAGCTGTGTGCCCATTGTGATTGCCACAGCACACCCACGCCAGCATCTCCACGGAGACACAGCATATTTAGGTGAAGCATCACCAACCTGTTGCCAAGGAAACAGGAGATGCAAAAAATCTCAATGACATTCCATTTTGAAGCAGTCAAGAAACCTCGGAAAGGGATTTTAGAAAGTGCCTGGGAAGGAAGCGGAAATTGGGCTTCTAATTACAGATTCTCAGCCGGCTCTGCTTTATTCCCTGGTTATTCTCTCTGCTCACATCACTGTCTTCCTGCCATTCTCTGTCTGCCGAGGCACAAACACCAGACACCAGTGAAAACAAAACTTCCTTGGGCTGAGAAGAGAAAGTGGGAGGAGGTTTGTGGGTTTTTTAAAAAAAGACAGAATTAAGGTACTACTTGCATGAAAAACATAGGGAGACATAATATGGAAAGTGGGGTGCGGCGGGTGTGTCAACAGCTCAGGGCAAATGTCGAGATAAGAAGGGTCTCTTTGAGCACACCCAAATGTATGCATCACCCAGAGGATTTAGTTGATGGACAGTATAGAGATGTAGCAAATTAATTAATACCCTCTGCAGGAGTGTATGTGCCTATATACTTGCTCACAAGTCTGTGTAGAAATTTGCCCACTGAAATAATTTTAAGAATTCATTATATCTCTCTTTTATACACAGAGACACAAACACACACATACACACACATTCAAATCCTGTCCAAATCCTGACTGTAGGAAGCCTTTAGATGCAGTCTAACAAACCCAAGGCACTTTAAAGTCCTGCTGGAGTATGTAGGACTTGAGAGCTTAATTGTGCACTTAAGTGCCATCAGCCTAGATGAGATTTAGATGCTCTTAGCTTCCTTTCGCTTGCACAGCACATTGTGAGACAAATATTATGCAGATGAAATGGTACCCCCTTTCAAAACGACAAGATTCAGTCTGCAAATTTGTCTTAATATTGTGGAATTTGGGAGTGGAAATCAGAAGCTTACTTGCCTGCGCTTAAAGCACAAGCCGAATGAGCTGATTTGGAAGTATGTCTGACTAAGGATGTATACACCTTAGCAGCTTAAAATATAGAGAGATCATCCCTCCCAGCAGGATTTCAAGCTGAATTTGCATACCGTTGTTCACATCAGAGAGGGGGCAAGGATGCCTGCACCTGACATACATGATCTTTTTGGTTTCCCTGCCTATTCTCAATGCGTCCATAGGCACATGTGTGGTGGCTAGTCCAAATGTTCCACATCCAGCTTCTTGTCAGACTAAAACTGGTTTGGAAGAAATGCATTGAGCAGTGTTTTGTCAAGAAACTACAGGATCAATATGGATTGTGGCCAACATTGTGTGAATGCCGCTTCAAAAAACTAGCAGTGGGAACACGCTGGCTGCATAGTAAACATTAATGTGAACATGTCCTTAGTCTTTAGGGAGTTTCCATGAGAAGGAACTAGTCATGGCATGGTGGGGGTTGAGGATGGTGGCAGCGGCAAGTGCAGACACCAGGCCCAATGTTTTTCTTTTATTAACAGAGTTGGGCCCTATGAAAGATGCTGGCGTAGTTCGCCCTCCACAAAGTTAAAATTCCCAGCAACTCTTAACAACTACAGCACCCAGAATTCTTTGAGGGCGGAAATGTGCTTCAAACATGCATTGAAGGCATAGTGCGTACACAGCCGTATATTAGGCATATTTTGAATAATAAGCTTTACTTTTGTGGTCACAAACCACTGCAGGAACACAGCTCAGGACTCATAATCCAATCCTTATGTGCCTTGTGAGGACAGAGGCAGGCTTACAGAGAGCGGCGCTGGGTTACATGCAAGGCAAGAATTTCCTGTTAACTCTAGAACAGATACAAATGATATGTTTTCTCAGGTCTTTTGCTCACAGCAACAGAAATGTATTGATGCAAGTTTGGGGCTCTGGTTCACGAGACTGGCACATATAAGCTTTCGGATCATGTTTTCTGTGCCTATTTAGTGCAGTCATGCAAGTGGAGAAATCTTTCCTGTTATCATTGCACCACATTACTAAATTGCCAGCATTTTTTTAAATAAATAAATAAATAAAGCATTGGCAAAGGTCCTTTCCGTTTTCTGTGTCTGTTGGTGTTGATGTTAAAGTCTTTTCTCTCTACCTCCCTCAAATGATGCGGAGGCAGACATAGAAATGCGTTGAAGATTCTCTGTCTACAATTAGCTGCACCAAGCCCCCAGCTGGAAAGCATGATGTGGCAATAGGCCAGCGAGCCACTCATGCATACAGAAGTTAATTAGTGCTAAATTACAGTAGAAATCCTCCAGAATGACATTGGGATATCCACATTAATGCCAAAGGAGTTCCATCCAAGCAGAATTTTGACTGAATTAATGATTTCTGGCTTTGAGATTTGGAATGCTTCCCTCCTGGAACTGAACTGACTACTTCAGAAGTGAAAAGATGGCTGTTTCTCCCCTTTGATGAATGACTGGCTCCATCAAAAAATCGAAAAACCTTCTGAGTGGGATAGATTTTGCCACTGCTTTATCTGATAGAGGGAGGTACATGCTTTTTAAAAAATAAAATAAAATACAGTGTTTTGGTTTCCCAACATGCCTTGTTAGAAGATGATGCCTCATGTTTCTTTGGCTACATAACATTTCATTCCCGGCCTGTAAATGTCCCATAGGGAGCGCTTACTGGAATGATATCAGAGAAATGGAAACAAGAATGGGATGGCTATTGTTGCAGAAAGCACAAGATTAGATCCAGGCACTGGGCAATAAGATACACATGAATATGTAGTTTGCAACCTTCCATATCAGCTTTACTTGGGGTCAAAATACACAGGCCTCCCTTGGAGCCTGGCTTCGCTCTCACACAATACACATACAGAAAGGGGGGAGGGGAACAGTGAGATTAAAGGAATGAAAGATGCAGCCAAACCCAGATATTGGCTCAGTTCTCACAAACATAATGTTTACAGCAGCATATCAGGAGAGCTGCATAAAGAAATGTAAAGGGTTTTTTACCCGCTTCCAAAAAGAGTAGCAATGCATACTTAGCACTCGGGTTTTGATTCAATAAATCAGGTCTGAGGAGGATATTGTGATGATTATATGAATACCTCTAGTATGACTTCTTAGAAAATGGAACTATGAAGCATTTTTAAATCTCTCATTATATCCAGGAAGACGCGATATCAGCTTTGATGGTTTGATTCTATCTCTGGCATGCGCTCTTTCAAATTTCACATCCTTGCAATCTCTCCTGTGACAGACATGCTTCCTTATAGAACACATCCACACAAGTTTTTGAAATCCGCACTTCAATATATTTCTGTCTCTAGCAAAGATGCCATCAATAGATGAATACTTTGCTCCACGTTTTAAGCAGCAGGCTAGCCATAAAAAGAGCTGCCTCCAAGTTTGGCACTACATTCTGGCAAACGCATTGCCAGGTGTTTTGACTCTGTTTTGTGAACACTTCAAAATGCAAACAAAATTTCAGCATGTACTAGTTTTCTTTTCTTTTTTAAAGAAATGTGGTTAAAATCAGAACGTATTATATGGCTACATTGGCACTTTCAAAGGCTGCAGCCGACAGCAGCAGGAGTTGTTGAGCAGGGTAGCCACCTCTATATAAATAATAAATTTAACAACAACAACAATTTCATAGTCCCATTACTCACGTTTTCCATTGCAGAAGGTGGGGGACCAGCTCCCTGGTGGACTTTGAACTGTTTTGTCAACTACTGACAAGGCTACTTTGGCATATCCTCTGAAAATAGAGATACAGTGGTACCTCAGGTTACAGACGTTTCGGGTTACAGGCACTTCAGGTTACAGACTCCACTAACCCAGAAATATCAGAACTTTGCTTCAGGATGAGAACAGAAATTGTACAGCGGCGGCAGCAGGAGGCCCCATTAGCTAAAGTGGTGCTTCAGGTTAAGAACAGTTTCAGGTTAGGAACGGACCTCCAGAACGAATTAAGTTCTTAACCTGAGGTACCACTGTATTCATATTTCTTTCAGCAAGTAAAAAACAGCTATGAGAATTCTCCTGAATCCACACCTCTGGGTTTTATCTTCACTACTGTAGAACCAAGCATTATGGTACCCAGTGGCATTTTGTTTCCAGCATTTAATTGTTTTGAATTATACTTAATGTGCACAATTGCACCATGGCACAATCTGGTGCAATGGTCAGTGCGTCTGGCTGTTAAACAAAAGGTTGGTGGTTCGAGCCCACCCAGGGACAGCTGTGGGCAGGATTTCTGCATTGTAGGGGGTTGGAGTAGATGACCCTTGGGGTCCCTTCCAGCACTATTTTTCTGTGGTTCTCTTTAGCTAACTTAACTTTTGCCATTATACAAAGTACAGTCAAACCTAAGTTCTCAAACAGCTCTGTTTTTTAACGTTTAGGCTCTCGAACGCTGAAAACCTGGAAGTAAATGCTCCAATTTTTTAACGTTTTTTCGGAACCCGAATGTCCGACGCGGCTTCCACTTGAGTGCAAGAAGCCTCTGTTGTTGAACGTTTCAGAAGTCGAACAGTCTTCCAGAACGGATTACGTTTCACAACCAAGGTTTGACTGCACCTCTACAGTGGTACCTCAGGTTAAGTACTTAATTCGTTCTGGAGGTCCGTTCTTAACCTGAAACTGTTCTTAACCTGAAGCACCTCTTTAGCTAATGGGGCCTCCTGCTGCTCCTGCGCCACCGGAGCACAATTTCTGTTCTCATCCTGAAGCAAAGTTCTGAACCCAAGGTAATATTTCTGGGTTAGCGGAATCTGTAACCTGAAGCGTATGTAACCTGAAGCGTATGTAACCCAAGGTACCAATGTATTCCTCTTTTTTTGCATTTGTCTGTGTAACAAGGGGCCTTTTGAACAGTATTGCATATTTCTAGAAGTACTTAGCACAGTATGCTTTTCTCCAGGCAAATCGGTTCTTCAGTATGCAGAATTCTTCTGCGTAGGGGAAGTTTACCCCAACGCTCAAAGCAAAAGGCAACCATCTCAATTGGTATTTTAAGTAACATGTTTGAGCACTGTATTCACTGTCTTGAACTGTTCCTGCTATTACCAAGAATCTGTCTCATGATAAACCAGCGAGAAACTCAAATGATGTGGGGTTTTGTAAAAAATAGATTAACGGTTACATTATTAGCATTGTCAAACATTTTACTGGCACATTCAAATATGAGCAAATCATAATGTATAGTTACACTGCTATCTTCTGAGAGATAATAAGCCCTGTCTAAATCTAGAAAAAAAGAAAATGAAAAGAAATGCATATGGGAGGACTAAGCTTTTCATAAGGCAATATTGTCACTTCCCATTGTTTTAACTGGTGATTGAGTTTGAAGGTAATTCTGTAAGGACTTTTGTTTACTGACTTGTAAGTAATGTCATTCTACACATAACATGTTGATGTTGCTGCCCCAGGGTCCTTTGGAAGGAAAGGCAGGATATATATTTAATGAATTAAACAAAGAGAGAAATGTAAGGAGAGCTAGATATTAAATGGCAGTGATGGGAAACCAGAGACCCTCCAGATATTGGCCTGCCCCCAAGATCACACCTTTTCCTCCAATGAGTTCTAGATGACATACATGGTCCTCCCACTCCTCAATTAATCTCCACAATAACCCTGTGAGGTCATGTCAGGGACATGGCTGAATTGAACGCCTGGGAAGAGTCAGACTCTAGAGATGAAGGAATGCCAGTACAGAGAGAGCCAGAGTCTGACTCTTGAGACAAGGGAATGCAGTCACAGACAGAGCAGGAGTGGGTTAGTTCGGCCTCCCTTCATCAAGAGTTCTCAGACTCAGATAGAGCAGCTGTCTTGGAAAGTTCACAGGCAGAGGGAGGGGAGGAGATAGATGGCATTGAGGGAGTTGCTATGCAACCAGGAGGGAGGCAGCGTTTAGAGGGTTCCTCTTTTGAGAGCGGGGGGGGGAGTTCACCCACCTTCTCCCCAAATCAGAAGAGCTGAAAGGGTTGCTGGATGGGACCAGAGACAAAAGTGGGTGGAGCAATGAAGAATGGTTTCTACTCACACACCCCTCTCTTTCCACCATCGAGGCAAGGAAGAGTCATTTGCAGAGTTCACAGACATATTCTAGCAGGTCAAAACACTTGAGTGTAAAGCAGGACCAGTTAGGGGTGCAACCTAGGAAGAGTTCCAAGGGCCAGATATAGAGGTCTTGAGGGCCACATTTGTCCGGTATGCTGAGGTTGAACCACTGATCCGTATTGAGTCCCATATTATTAAATAGACATATATAGGCAATGGTCATTCACAGAGCTGTGAAAATATTCAGAATATGTTCTCTGTTGCTTCATAGAATAACCACAGTAACATTTTTTTAAGCATATGATTTAGTTTTCCACATCACAATCATATGCACATACTTCCACTGAATTACCCATGCATGTTTCATTTCAGTGTTCCATGTTTCTCTTAAGCGTCCAGTTATCGATTTGCTTTACGACTTTGTGCCACAACAGGGTGTTATGGCTACAGTGCTGACCACTGGGGGCTGGAAAAAGCCCAATTTTACATTTCCATATACCTTCAACTCTGTACTGGATAGACTTCTTTACACATCATTTTTCTGTATTTTTAACTTTCTGATACTGGTTTTACAAGTGAATGCTGTGTTACTTATTATTATTTATTGCATTTATATCCTATCCTGCCTCCAAAGAGTCCAGGTGCCATGCATAATTCATCCCCACTTTATCCTCACAACACTCTCCTGTGTGGCATGTTCAGCTCAGAGAAAGTCACCCAGTGAGTTTCATTATAGAGTGAGGATTTGAACCTAGGTTAAAAAGACGAGGGTCATTGGGGTCCCTAAAAGCAGATTTGGCATTAGGCGGGACCCAGAGGATCAGCAAGAAACCACAAGTTATTACACACACAAACATCTGACAAATTTTGAGGCGGGATCTTGGAGATCCACAAAAACGTTATTTCATCTAATCTTGCACTGGCCATTTTTTGGTATTGGAAACATTTTGTCGCCTCAAGTGGTGCATGGTTGGTGTCATTGAATAATAAAGGCATGTGACAAGACGGCAATCTTTCCGAGTGCTCCTGGCAATGAAGTGATTAACTCTTAATCCACAGTGAGAAAGGTCCATCACTCACAAAAGATCTTAAGAAAGCCCTATGTTGTGTGAGTTTCTTTGCCTCCACCTTTTCCCATAAATTGTTACAGAAGCAGGATCCAGATTCTCGCATAAATGATATATCACCACTACTCAAAAGCTGCAGGATGGGAGAGAAAGTTACAATGGACCTGACTCATCTTTGCAATTATTTCTTAGGTACAACCTGGGTTGGCATTACTAAACTACAGAATTAAAGGTCATACCTCCATTTTGGCATCCCCTCATAAATCCATCAGCTCTAAGGGCTAGGCGTCTTTCATTTTCTGGAACTTGTCAATGACTGGAAGGAACTGATCAGACCATTCGAGAGAAGTATTAAGAAGCAATTCCTGGAATTCGTAGTACAAATATTAATAGGTGGTGTTACTATGCAGAATGTAACAGCCAGGGATAGTACACAACACCATAACCTTGCCCAGACCTGGGCTTTGTTTGTTTATTTAAGACAGGGCCCAAAACACAGCCAACTCTCAATGCCCTCAGCAAAATTTGATGCCCCCTCCTCCAGCCGTCTCACTGGCTTCCCAAAGCTGGGTTAGTGAGGCACTGGGCTTTGGGAAGGAGATGTGAGGGCTCTGACAGTGTCCCCAATTCCTCGCGCATCCTTCCCAAAGCCTAGTTAGCACTTTTCCAGCTTTGATGGTGGCAGTTTTGTAGGAATAGTCCTTACTAACAGAATACATTTATAACAAGGCTTGAGCTGAGCATTTTACTCCTGTGCCAATAAACCCAGGAGCTTAAAGCAGTAAAAAGAAGGGGGCGAGGAAGTGTGTGTAAAAAAGAAGAAGTTACACCTGTCACCAGGTGGGCCCTGCAATCTTTATTAAAGGCAGCAGGCTGCTCTGGATTAATATGTGTATTTCACTAAACCGTTAGTCTCTGACTTATTACCTTTTCTTTATGTCCCACAAAATAGTGACAGCACAGTAGTTTCTTTCTTATACCTTCACAGATTCGTTTTTACATCCTCATAGCATGACCCTTTATTTATCTCCTCAGCTATTGTCCCCTCAAGATTCTGCAGAGGGGTTGCTTTGTCTGTCTCTCCTCTCACAACCACAGCTTCCCCACCTCTATAGAAGGCTTTTTCAAGCTGAATTGTGGCATGAGGAGGTACAGTTGGAGTGGAGTGCAATTCTCCACTCACAACCCCTCCCCTCACCATGTGAAAATATCCTTCCATAGCATTTTAGGCCTGTTAAAAAAGAAGAAGTCCTTCCAGTGGCTATTTTGAAATCTGATTGTTGTGGGCAAAATTCAGAGGTAGGGCTTAACTCTCACTCCCCAGCTGTAATCCTCAGTAACACCAATATCCTCTGTGGCAATTAGCCTTTAAAAAAGTAAAAAAATACTTTTAAAAAACTTAATTTCTGTGGGGAAAGTGTGTGCGTGATTTGTATGTATATGCTATATGTACACTTTAAGGACCTTCTGAGGTAATCAAGTATATCCCAGCTTGATAGACAAAAAAGATCTCCGGCTTGATACACTACAGTCTAACATGTGGGGCCGGGCCAGGCCTATACACAGAGGGTGGTCAACTACTTTTGAAATATGGAGTAACCAAGAGGTGGTCATCTGTGATCTTGTCAATGCATTAATATGAATCCATATTGGTTTTCTTATCACTGTGGCCAATGATCAAATCCATTCATTTTGACTGAATCCATTCTAATTCATTCATTTCTGGTCAGCAAAATACTAAGCAGAAGACTTGACATGCAGCTGTCTCTTCTCCATCCTTATCGAGGATCTATCCGATTGTCTATAACTTGTGGGATTTGGCCACATCATCATAAGAAAACCTACATTTGAATACTTTGTGAAAACATTCTGTTTGGATTTTAGTCTGCAGCTATTCCATTGTTAGCTCTAACGAGTTTGACCCATGGCTGCTTTTGCACTGAGCATTCAGAGCAAAGCTACTTATCACAGTGACAGGAACATATTATTCGTTTTTGTCCACATTCCCCATCTTCTTAAACTTTTTTATTTGATTTTCCACGTATCTGTTCTCTTTTGTTCTAGCAACAATGAGGAAAAAGAAAACACAGCCATTCTCTCTTGGTTGGGGTA